GAACACGGTATCCACAGAGTGTGGGCGCTTTTGTGGCGACTCTTCGACACTGTCTTTGCTGACTACCCCTTGTGGCGAGGTTCGATAGATGCAATGACCCCATTTCTGTCATTCATGTTGTTTCTACCCGGCTTCGCAGCGAGCCTGATGCACCTCTGCTTCTCGTGCGAACGCAAGCTGCAGCTTGAGAAGTCATCTGCCACCGCGATTGGACAACTGCTCTCCTCCGCGGGATCCCTGGACGGCGCACATGAAAAGCGCCTTCTTGAGGAAACAGCGGCTTCTGAGCAGAACGGTGAATCTTCCTTATTCAAGCGCTTCCAGCTCACACTATCCCGGCTGCGACACAGAAGCCGTCTGCGAATCGCCTTCACAAAGCTTAGTGCCCTAATGGAAGAGTCCGAAGAAGAACACGTTGCGCCGCCCAAAGGGGGGGGCGCGCCGCCAGATAATTCAGTTGCACGGACAAAGACGACGGAGGTGGAGGGACTCATTGGTCTTTTCCCTACCCTTATTTCCGGCCTCGTGGGTTTGCTGGTCGTTCTTGCACGCTATCCAAATGAATACAGGTCGGACCTTGTAGCCAATCTTTGTGATGTGGTTCTGGCTCAATTGTAGAAAAAAAAACAGACTCGCAACGCTAGATAGATGTGTAGTGCACCATGGAGGACAAGAGAGCCATCGGCTCTTCTAATACAGGATAATGTAGTACGATCTGTAGTGAGCAATTGCACCACACCGGACTGATGCATAACAGAGATTAGCACTGGCCGAGCTTTGCACTTCATATTCTGCAGTCCGCCAATAGCGGGGCTCCCTCAGTTTATGCGGAGTTTCGCACAGGACCCGTTTTTGCTGCGTTGAAGTTTGTGTGCGAAACGGAAGCCCGTTTTGAGCCGCACGCACGCCTGCACGCGTTTGCCGTTTTTGAGCACGAAGCCGTCGGCGACCTCGTTGCCGAAACCAAGCTTCGAAAGTTACACGTAAGCATTCTGCGGGAGCACGAAGCGAGGGTGAAAAAGGAAGCGGATGCGCAAAACTCCGAGAAAGGTTCCAGCACGAAATTCCCAGCGGCGGACGAAGAAGAAAACACGGACTTTCTGAAGACGCACTGGTCTTCTGTGTGGGAATTGCTAGCGAAAGGCTCAGCTGCAGCGCCGGCCTGCAATCAGCCCCCCCAGCAAAGTGCCCAAAGTGCTGGCACAGACGGGGTTCATGTCGGTGCGCAACGTCTTGCCAGCGACTTCCTGGTAATTCGTCTTGCTGATTCTGCTACACCAGGAGATCCCCAGGCCAGTTTCCGCGCGATTGCCGACCAGCTTTTGCGTCTGCGAGTACTTCTAGACGAAAAGGAGAACCTGACAACTTCGGAAGAAGAGGTGTTGGCCTCACTGCAGTTCCCGGAGGAGCTCGAGCACGCGGCACGCACGCTTCGGGCCCAAGCGGTGCAGGGTCTCCGGGTCCGGCATCACGCCAACATAGAGACGCTGAACGATATGGATTCCAGCGGTGCATTGGATGCACAAAGTTTGCAGGCACTGGCAGAGGACATGCCCGGGATCCAATTTGTTGTGTGGGAGGCGGATGGTGACCAGGTGCCGAGGAAGTGGCGCGTCGCCGAGGCGAAGCATTCCCCTTCGGTACCCGTTTCCCAGGATAAGAAACCTTTCCAGGTCTACCTGTTGCGCGAGCTGCCAGTCGGTGCGGAAAAAGTGGTGCACCACTCTGCAGTTCTGCTGCCGGAGGCCGAGCGGCGCGAACAAATCGGAGGTCAGCAAGCACACTGTGGTCCGACGCGCACGTGGTGGATGTGGTATCTTGTGTATGATCATGAAAACTGTTAGCGTTTCCTTCCTCGAATTCGGACCTCGCTTTCATGGATTAGGATAAAACTGCATGCGTCACCGTTAAGCATGTGCTATATCTTTCTGAAGCAGTCGGACGAGCGCATCGGATCGCTCGGTCAGCAGAGTGCGCTGTCCGAGCCCCGGAGGCTCTGCGGCTATGTGTTTTGCCCTGCAGTTTGTACTTTTACATAGAATATTTGGCAAATTTGTATATTGCATGCCTTGCTGGTAGCACCTGCAGCGATATTTCCTCTGAGGTCAGATGACAGCACTTCCCTACGTATTTCAACATCGGGAAGGTGACGGAAACAGCTTTCAGCATCACACTCCGCAAAGAACGCTGAGTATGCGAATTGTGAGGGGCGTAAACAAACAGCCACCGATATGGGAGCGACGCCTTGTGCTTGTTGTGAATGTTTCAACGGAGCTTCATGTATAATTAGAGGCTTGATGCGCAACATCACGCGATAGAGCCGTGCGAACGCCTACTACACTCATGGTATCTAATATTTTGCAATAGGGATGACCACTAATTTGCTTTCAGGGAAGAGTTGCTTTCATGCCGCGGCGCAAAAACAAGCCTCCTCTCCTCCGGGAGATTGATGCCAGGTTCTGTTGTGGCCGACCTTGGATGTGTACCTCTCTGAAATCACTCATCTATCATGTACAAAGGCTGTCGCTTGCATTACCGGATGCGTACTTGTCACAGCGGTTTCTACCGCAAGAGGCGGCTCCTGCATCGCCGCAACAAGCGGCAAATAACGTATCCAACGGGGCAGCGCCGGCTGCCAAATCACCACCCAGCGATCCGGATCACATGCAGTATCTTTCTTTGGAGTATCAGTTCCACTTCGTGTTTGGTTCCGTTTTCGCGAGAAACAAGCTTCCTGCAACCGAGCACGCAGTGGAGAAGTCCGGATTTCGGGAAATGAACGCGGCTTGGACAACTCTGATTGCCCATGTCTACGAGCGCATTTGCAGGGACCACGCAGCACAAAGCAGACGCCTACGCTGTGCCGTAGACCATCTGGAGGAGATCATCGCGCTGATCGGAAACTGGGCAAACGTGAGTGTAGCGGTGGAGTCAACGAGCCCGGCCCCGGCACCACACAAGAATGGGGCAGTTCCTTCCCCAGCCACGCCTTCTTCCTCTTCTAGCTCCTCAAGTGGAACCGCTAGTAGTTCGACATCCTCACCAAGCCCTGCGGTATCTGCAAGTTCAAATAACGTCGCAGTATCGAAATCCGCAACGGGGACTGGACCTAGTACCGTAAAAACAGTTCCTGCAGTCCGCGACTTTAGCACGCTCGCGCAGGCATTCACGCTTATCGACGTCTCCCCAGACCGGGGAGTCTTAGCAAACGCGAAACTCATTTTGCGGCGTTGGCACGAGGCCTCGCCACTGCCGGGACTGCAGCTGAACTGGCTCGCAGACCAGCTGCGTGTGCTTCGACCCGACAGTGCTACGCTTGGGCGGATGCACAGTGCCATATGTGATTGGAAGGACGCTCACGTGTCGACGACGCCCACCGAAAACCTCTTTTTCACCTTCGAAAACACTTCTAGCTTGGAGGATGTTCTTACGAACAGGTCAGAAACCCTTTTGCTCTATCTGGTCCTGTACTGTGTGTGTTTTTTTGCAAGATAAAAGTCACCTCTTCACATCTCGATTCTACCATGTTCTTGCGGCAAGCATATCGAGCACGATTTGATCTTCTTCTTCATGAGTAACATAATACAAGCATCGTGTCTGCAAAATACATGTTGTTTGATTGTTCTAGAAATAAGCGCACAAAAGCAAAACGCGGCAAGTACCAGGGAAGGCAAATTGTTGTCTAAAGTTTCATAACCTTCTCGAAAGCGGTGGCCTCGCCGAACGGGCTAACTGAGGTGGCTGAATTTTTTCAGCTTCTCTCCAGACACGCATCCTTGCTTCACGGCACAAACTTTATCAAAGACATAGCAGCCCTCGCAGGAAAGCCTCTCTTTACAGGCATGAAGTGGGCGTGCATTCAGGTGGCGGAGGAGGTCCTGGAAATCCGGCTCCACGATTGGGGGGCACTGAATGCTAACAAGGATATTGCCAAGGAAGCAAAGAAGGATATCACCAATTTGGCTTCAGCGCTGCTTCGCGTTTGGCCACTCCAAGAGGTGCTGCTCGTCGTGGACCGATTCAAAGACGCGGCGGCCCCGCTGTTGACAGCGCAACGAACGCTACAGCTGCTTCTGGACTACCAGTTCTCCGTTGATTGGGACGTTCTTGATCACGATTTCAAAAGTTCTCGGCATGATGCACCAACACCGATAGCACTGCAGCAGGTCCGCAATGAGCACAAGACAGTCGCGCAGTTTCTCCGCCAGAAACCAAGCGACGTGTGGATCCGAGAGCTGCACGAGCGCTTCGTCAAAGTCGCCTTTCCTGGGGGTGTAGAGCTCACGGCGCAGCAAGTCGCGGATAGCATCCAAGAGCAAGCCCTCCGGAATCCCACGAGTTCTGCAGCACCGCTGCTAATCAGCGCGTCCGAGCACCTGGTACGCCAACAACAGAAGGTCCTTGACGCGGACCAAACCGTCCTCCCCGGCCAGCGACTGCGGGGCTTCACCGGCTGGGCCCCCTGGGCTGCGGAAGTTAAGCGTCGCTACAAGGAGGACAGCAGCCAGGTAAACATTTACGAGGTGATCGCGGTAGTTTGCGAGGGTTTTGCGAAGACCAATGGTGGCAAAAGACCCCGCGCCACGCAGCTCTTCGCTATACTAGCACAGCTCGATGCGTTTGAGAAACTGAACCTGCAGCACGAGGAGGGAGACGCAACGATGGAAAGCGGGGGCGCGGGAGCGGCGCCAGGAGAAACTAGCAACGCGCAGCAGCCCGTGGGACCGGCGAACGCGTCCTCGTCAGACACTGTCATGCAGACCGCAACGATGAAGCGCGGTCGCGGACCGGCTTCTTCCACCGACCAGGCCGACCAGGTGAAACGCGGCCGCATTGGGGATCCCGCCAGACTTCTCCCAGCCTTGCCTGCTTCATCTACAAAGCGTGCAGGCGATGGAAATGGCCTTGCAGGGACCAATAATGCGCGGAAACGCCGACGCGTGTCTCGTGGCCCGCGGACTGCCGGTCCGGCCCCCGGGCCAAGCCGACCGGCCACTGTTGGGCGGCTCGGTCAGGTACCAACCGGCGAGGGCAAGACTATGATTGTAGCGATTCTTGCAGCAATCCTGGCGCTCCGAAATCAGACGGTTGACATTATTACCGCGTCTGAGGAGCTAGCAAAGCCGGCTGCCGAGGAAATGAAAGGGTTTTTCAGTCTATTTGGTTTTTCGGCGGCTGCTATTAGTGAAGATACTAACTGGACACAACACATTATCTACGGAGACGCCTCCCAGTTCCAGTTTGCGGACCTTCGCTACCGCTTTGCGGAAGAGCATCAGAAAGGCGCAGGTCGAGGTGCCGAAATGCGTCCGTACCAGGTGGCCATCATAGATGAGAGCGATTCGCTAATGGTCGACGGCAAGGGATCGCAGGCTCTGCTAGGCAGCTCTGCGCCGGGAGCGCATTACCTACAGAATTTCATCATAATTGCGTGGGGCATAATGCTCAACGGCAAAAAAAGCCTACGTATATGCAATGTGACAAAATGACTGATACTGTGTGGACATCAAATTGTGCGCGCCACGATCTTAGTTTAATTTGGTAGGAAGCGAGACTTCGAGAAGCTTTCATGATTTATTTTTTGTGCTTCTGAACAAGACAACTTAACTGTTGTGTTTGCAAGAGCTACTGTTTCCACCCGCTCGTTTGCAACTTCCTGCCTTTGCACGTTTTCGTTTGCTGTCCATGTTTGCATTCTCAACAAAACAAATGATTGACATTCCCAAATTGCAAAAAGATGCTTGGGGGCGAGGATGCCCATGCCACGATACTCAAGTATCCGTCGGATTTTTTTTGCGCTGCACAGAGCCAGTACAACGTTCCTAAGCACGGAACACTCACTTTTGAACTTCACCCGCAGTTCCCTCCCGCAGACGACTGGACTGCGTTCAAGAAAGAGTGGAAGAAGGTAGTCGCGGCAAGCCAAGGCTCAAACTCCTCTCCGGCACCGACGACTTCGACCGGGGGCTCCTCGACCAGTGGCGCAGGGCCGGAAACTGGTGATGTTCACGAAGAAAAGGACAACCTTGATGTGCTAAAGCAAATCACTCCTATCGAGCATTTGGGTCTAGATCCGTCCGACACGAGCAAAAAGCCTCTCTACAAGGATTGGTCAAATTACTTGAGCCAGAAAATCGAAGCCATGTTGCGGCAGGGTGTGCGCGATTTTGATCATCACGAAAACAGCTTACTGCCTGACAAGAAGCTGCCCGATGAAATGAGAAAGGAAGCTGAAGTACCGGACAGAAAAGTAGTGTTTCAATGGCTTGAAAAGAAAATGCTCCGCTCTTTCGCAAGTTGTTCATAATTCTTTCATCTCTCATACGACTGAGAAGCACCTGTCATGACGCGGAAGCGAACTTCTCAGACAAGAAAGCAACTGCATGAAAATGAGCTAGCAGCCGTGTATAAAACTAGATGAACATGAACAGCAATTGCATGCGGGGACGTCTAATAAATGCCGCAGCTGCGCTGTATTTCAGTGCTAGCGTTGCAACAAGATTCGCATCGCGCTGTTCCTTTCAAAACAGGCAGCATGCTCATACTTTCTTTTGCTACAGGGTTCACACTTTTCACGTCAGTATGAAGACGGGGACGATCCCAGCAAGCCAGACGCCCAACCAGTACCACGGTTTTATCACATGAAGCACCATCGGGATTACATCGTCCGCACAGGAATCGTTCAGTGGTCACTAGCAGCGGTGGATGCCATGTACCATCTGGAGCAGGATAAGCATTACAGGCTGAAGACGGGAACGCAAGGACCCAAGGTCGAGTTGATCGACATGAGTAATACAGGTTGCGTCTCAGACACATCACAGTTTACCGGCGGTCTCGCTCAGTTCTTGGAGTTTAAGCACGGCCTGACGATGACCCCGAGTGGATTCACGACAAATTACATTTCCAATGCAGGTTACTTCAAGAAGTACGACAAGATCTTCGGTCTAACGGGCACGCTTGGCGATGCAGAGACAAGGGACTTTCTGAACGATACCTACAAGCTGGACTTTTTCTTCGTGCCAGGATTTAAGTCAAAGCAGTTTCACATGCTCCGCGGGATTTTTCATTTCGAAGGAACAGCATGGAAGGATGCCGTGCTGCGTCAGACTTTGGTGCAGGCAAAACTTGGTCGGGCGGTCCTAGTGATTTGCGAATCCTTGAGCGATGCAAAGATGTTTCATAAGCAGTTCACAAAGAAGATTGACGAGCCGAATCCTCAAGACGTACTTTCCGCGAACGACGCTGCGCTGAGCGTCTCGCTATACACGGAACAGTCCGAACGAGCAGCGGCGGTGGGGTCGGGCGACCAGAAACGAAAACTGGAACCCGGCACCATCATCGTGACAACCAACATCGCAGGTCGCGGCACGGATATCAACCTCACCGACGAGGTCGAGAAGAACGGAGGCTTGCACGTTATTATCACCTTCCGCCCGCAGAACGATCGGGTCCAGCAGCAAAATGTTGGCCGCACATCCCGCACGGGAAACAGAGGGACAGCGCAGCTGATACTTAACGGGCAAGCGTTGCCCGGGCCGCACACTCCTTTACCACGCGATCGGCTGGGCCCGGATGGAGGCATGATCTACGTTTCTGACAAACGGGATGTCAGCCAGCGGCGCTCTATTCGCGACGGACCGAAACAAATTAGCGTCATCCTACAGCGTGACCGACTGTTTGATCGCTGGGTGCAATTTCTGGACGAGCTTGAGGTACACCATGAAAAAGCTTATGTTACTTGGCATGTTAGTCCTCCAAACTCAATTTGTAAGAGCACGAGCACCAGTCTCCGAAGATAGGACCATGAAATTAGAAGCATTTTGCGGGTCCTTAGCTATAGTGTTTCACGTAGAAGCAACAATAAATACATCCAACTGATGCAGCTGTAGCTACTATTCTCATGCACATGTTGAAGATATGAGTATCCATACTGATTCGCGGGATTTTTACCCACCGATTTGCATTCGTGGAGCAGTTACTTTTGCAAGAAAAACGCGTCTATGAATGTAAGGACTGCTTGCTGGACGCGCGCGAAAAGCTCCTTTTCTATTCAGCTGACAGAAAATCCACAAACTGCTTTTTCTTTGTACACCTGCTCAAGAAGCGCCATTTAGGGGTATGTCCCAAGACGGGCCCGAAGGACGACACGTGGAAATCGCCGGACCGACTTGGCGTGGAGGAGCAGTTCGGAATGTGGATAGCTGCCAACAATGCAGAGCTCGAGAAACGAGCCGCCCCCGAATACGTCGGCGACGATGCTTTGCAGTTCTTCGAAACCGATTTCGTTTCCAGAGTCCTGGCCTCCCGGGACGACCCGCGTACCCCTAGAAACACGTACCCCCTCTCGCCCAATCCCTACTTTCTGTTAGCAGAAGCAAACAAGTCGATCACGGACAGGAAGTTCGACCGCGCACTAGAGCTGCTCGGCGCGGCTTGCGACCGGGACGAAGAGTGCACAGCCAACTGCAGTGGGGGAATGTGCGCGCAGGCCTGGTACAGCCGGGGAATTGCGCACCTGGGACGGTATGGGAAGGACGAGACTGAGCACGACTCCGCGTGCGAAAAGGTCTTTCCGAAAGCGATCAGGATTATTACCGAAAAATGTGCTCAAGATTTGCACGTGGCGCTCATGGAGGTCGTCAGAGGAAAAAACATCGACTGCACAAAGGAGAAGCTCGCACAAGAATACAATCATCAATATGCGACAAAAAATCCGTGTATGCCGTAAACTGTCCTTGTATAATACCACCAGCCCCTCAACATCGCACTGCATGATAAAACATTGCACCCGAATGTAGATCTCCTGTGTCCGAAGCTGCTTGCGGCGACGGCGAAAAGTTTTCAGTTTCACTCAGTTGCAGGACGGTATGCATGAAAAGGCCATGTAATTTTTCACAAACGGCGAGACGCCCCCACTCTCTTGCAAATTTGGCCTCGGCATTTTGATTTATGTCTGTTCACTCCGTCACTTGGCATTAAGATATGTCTGTTCACTCCGTCATTTAGCGTGAATGTCAATTTTTTTCATTCTGTTCCGCGACCTTGCTAGTTCATCACACGGTCTCTTTTGTCTGGGATACAAATATCAGTATCTATAATGGCATGGCGGCCCAAATTCGGAACGTGATGGGTGACCCCAATGCCGATTTTGACAAGAGACAAGCGGGGCTAGACGAAGCTTTGGCCGAAGTCACCGACAGGCTGCCAGAGGTCGAAAAAGAAATTCGCGACGCAGAAGACATGTCTGTGGACCAGCGAAAAGAGTTTGGCAAGCGGCTCGGGCAGGAAAGCGTAACTTTGAGCGAAGACAAGAAGCAAGAGTATCCCCACCTGTGCAATGTACCGCCAGACGAGCTGATGTGGGCTTTGGACTTGGAAACCAAGAAGGAAACGCGTGAGAACCTGCAAAAGCAGAAAGAAGATGTCGGAGGAAAACTGAAAGATCTGAAGAAGGACCGCGAAGACACCGAGAACGACAGTCAGAAGAAAACCGAATATGAAAAACGAACGCTTGGACTGCTTGAGTGGGCCCGTCGGAACAACCACGAGCTGTCCCTGGGGGAAATCGCGTCGCCTGACAAGGGGTTCAAGAGACTTGTGGGTCCCAGTGAACTACGAAGACGAAAAATGCAGATGTGCTTTTTCCTACACCCAAATGCCCAATCTTGTGATGTCTTGTCATGTATCAAGAGAACGAAAGTAGTCTAAGCACAGCTGAGTGGCGCATCGGAAGCAGTTCCGTTCATCAAAACGAAGAGGAAGCTAGTGGCTTTTCATTCAAAGCAAGGTGCTGACAGCACCGCCTGCAAACCGCGATGCGATATATTCTTTCATTGATATCCTTTGCTTCAAGCCTTTTTTGTTACAAGAGACCGAACGAGAACCAGCTATCCTCTGTCTTCTCAGAACATGCGCTTTCCTGGAAAGTTGTGTCCCGGCCAAACTTGATTGAGTGCCATTTACAGGAGAAAACTTTCATGTTTATAACGCGACAGAATGCACTCTAACATGGTGAATAATGCTCCGTCTCATACTCGTCAATGCGGAAAGTGTTGATGCCGATCATGCTAATCTGTAACCACAAATACACTGAGTCAGGCAAAAGCTGAGTAAAGTCAGCTGTGATTTGCGAGAAATGCCGGCCTTGTGTCTACGCGTTTCAGCTTACTGCAGATACCTCTGTAGTTGATACGCGTAACAGGTGAAGAAGGTGCTACACGTCGACCGACAGACTCACTAAACAGGACCGGCGAAAAAAGGCCTGCGACCCCGTGCCGCAAGACTTCAGAAATGATTTTTGTACACGCGATCGCAGCACGTCGCATTCCCGTTGAAGTATGAGGAGGGGGGAGGTTTCATTGGGATACATGGGGACCACGAACTGCGACTGCACGAGGAATGGGGGCTGATTGGCGTATTTCAGCTTGACACCAAGCCCCCGATAAACTGGTGGGACTTTGCTGGTATGACGACGATCGCGGTCTCCCAAATAGTGGGCGGCACCGTTTTGGCCATTTTCGGGGGCTGCAACCTGGCCACGAGTCTGATATGCGAAGGCATCGCTGATATGATCACAGCCGTCAAGGACATTGTGATCAATCGATCGTTTTCCTGGGCGCAATGGGGGATCAACAAAGCGGTGTCGATCAGCGTCAGCTTGCTCACTGCCGGGGCCTCCGCGCTAAAAACCGCAGCCCAAGTCGCCGCCGCCGGCCTGCAAGGGGCCTTGGAGTTCACGAAGGAGGCCTTGGTACTCGGCGCGAAACTCGTAGCAAAGGCCGGCATCCTATCCTGTGTAAAAACGTCCCCACCATACTGAAGATGGATAAAAGTAACTGCTAGACAAATCCGCGAGGGTTGGAGCTCGCGCATGAAAACTTGAGTTGCGCCATGTAGTAATCGTGGTAAATTTCCAAACAAAGCTAGAAAATGACCCTCACCCAAAGCTGCATGAGACGAATTGCTGTGGAACTGGGAGTCTAGATTTGCATGACAAGGGTCGGATCTGCGGCAGGTGGCACAGGGGGAGGAAACGTGTTATGCAGTAGCAAGGCGTGGGGACGGTTTTACACAGGATACGTCCAAGCGGCAGTGAAGGAGGCCTTCACGCACGTAGCGTCAGTGATGGTTGCCGAGGGCGCTGGCCCGATCGTGGAAAGAATAATCTATGGGATGGATTCAGCTATTCAAAAGTAGCGGATTCAAAAATTTCTTTTCCTTGAAGATGCATGTCATTTCCTTTTCCAAAAACGGTTTCCATTTCGGCAGCAACGACGCGGATTCAGGTAGCGGCGAAACCGAGATCGGCGATTTATGCAATTGAAATATCTAGGTCAGTCTCAACTTGAACTAGCTAAATTGATGTCATTCTTATTTCATTTTTTGGTAGCAAAGAATAAGGATTGCGCAGCTGCTCCGCCACAGATTGTGCTGCTCCGCTCCCAAAGTACGTCGCCAAGCTGTCGCGGGGCCCCGTGCGGGGCCCCAGACAAACAGGGCGGCACTCCAGCTCCTTACTTTTTATAGTTTGATTTTTGATGATCATGTGCAAACTTCAATTATCTTTTCATTTTTGGCATGACAAATCCAAATGATAATCTAGTTCAAGTTGAGACTGACCTAGCTATTTAATTTCCTACCTTTTCTGGCGATGATTCGGAAAGACAAAGAAACCCACGAAAATTCATGACAAAAATGATCATATTTTGTTTCAGGTTTTGAAAATGCAAGATGAAGGATAAGAAATTTTTGAATCCGCTACTTTTGAATAGCTGAATCCATCCCATATAATCAACGAGCATTTACAGCCGGACGTGTACAGAACTCTTACAAGTTCGCCCGCTGTGAGCGAGTTGATGGAAGTGGATGGCGCGGCTGGAAACCGCTTTTACCGCCAGAAGCTGACCGAAGCTGTCGAATCCCTTCTCTCCCCGCAGATCGACCCGGGGCAACAGCTGACTACGATGGCGGGCGACAGCATCGGGAATCGCGAGCTGGCCACCGGAATCAAAACCTACATCGAAAACGTTGCGAAGGCACTTCGTATCTTTACATAAAAACCTGCTCTACTCACTTCGAGTATTTCTCTGTCTGCAAAAGGGGGCAGACGTAATAGTCGTGGCCGCACTTTGATGCTCTTGTATTCCTGTTTTTCTGCAAGTAGAAGAGATGGATAAGCATGGCATAGCGCACCAGCTTTTTTTTCTTTTCCTGCCAGTATCGTTCTTCTCAGAGCTTCTAACAAGTCTCTGCAACCACGGGTGAAAATACGGCTCGGCGCCCATGAGAAAGCCATTCGCGTGAGAGAAACAAGATTTTTTATTTCATACACGTTCCGGGCCCGTTGCAGTTGGCCGTTCAGCTTCTAGAGATCAGCAAGGTGGCAGCGCGGATAACTGAAATCGTACGCCAGCTTGGGCCGGTGCTGCAGAGGGCTGCTAACACCATGCAAACCGAGCACAAGAAGATTTTCAACTACGTCAAAGACCACTATGACGCTATGTATAGGACTATAATGCTTCTTGTTACTTCGTTGAGAGGCTGGGCCGCCAGAGCAGGTAGTCATGCCCAAATACGTATCATACAGATGATGCTCCGGTGGGTTGTCTTCTCCCTTTTGACTCTTCCAGCAATCAGATCAATGGCAATTGCGGCATCGAAATTATATTGAAGGCTAGGAGCCAGCATGTCCTGACAACTACAAATTGCTTGAAATTACTCACCTTTCAGGATAAATTGGTTCGGGGGCAGACGACAGGATGAGGACCAGGAGGAGTACGACCAGCGACTTTCCAACAAGTTGCAGGAGAACATTGAAACTCAGAAAAGATGGCCGAAGTGGTCTGCGATCCCTCTGTGGGTCCGAGAAGTGGACGGCGAAACGGTGCAGACCTACGTAAGATTGCAGTTGCAGAAGGTGCGGTCTTCAACAGGGGATCCGCCGAGCAACCAGCAGGCACCGAGCAGCAGTTCGTCGTCTGGGGACACGCGTGGCAGTTCCCGCGGTCACGGTGCTAACTTCAACGCAACCCAGGGATACCAGGCACAGGTCCAAACTTCCGTCGTAACTGTCAGAGACACGGCCGAGGAGATTTCGCAGCGGGCTTCGGGGGTCATGAAGGATTTGATCGAAAACGGAGCGATCATGCCCGCGGTTCAATTTGGCATCGGGCAGTTGAGTAAAAAAATGTGGCAGTCGTGGGACGACAAACTCGATAATGAACTCCAAATCTTTCGATCAAAAACGCATCAGGCAATGGCGTTCAGCGGCAAGCCGGCGGCCCGGGCGCTTGTCGCCACGGTGCGTGATGCGGAACGCACCGCGATACTGGCAAAGTTCTCACCAAAGGAGCAGGCCAAGGTGAGGAAGATGCTGCTGCAGCAGGACCTGGACTCGGCGATGGATGCCGCGGGAGCCCTGGACCGCGGGGAGCCGGCGAGCCTCCACCACATCGGTGCGCTCACTGAAACGCTGCAGCAGCCCGTCGTGCTCCGCGACGAGAACCAGAATGTGCTCACCACCATCGGCAAGGGCCTCCCTGGTGCTCCGTGCAACGTCACGTATTATAAGGGCGAAAACGGCAAACCCGGACACTACGTGGCGACGAATGCAGCCGTGGGGGACGGGTACACCTCCCCCGGAAAGCCTACCGGGAAAAATGCTTGCTTGTTCAATGCGGTGGCGGCGCAAGTGTATGGGGATCAGGGCAGGGGCGCACAATTGCGGGCCAAGACGGCTGCTCACATTCGGAACAACCCCCAGCGGCTCATGACAATTGCCAGTTCGATTCGCCGACACAACTTTTATAAGGGCGGCGCGCCGTCGTGCACGCCTGAACCTGGCAATGACCTCTGGAACGCAAACGCTGAGATGAGGACCTCGGTGGCCAATCACGTAGTTGCACACGGTAAGGCCGCAGGTCACGATTGGCCACGACCCGATGCAGAAAATATTGATTTGCACTTCAATGTGATGCCTGCGTGGCAGGCTCATTTTACGTTAAGGTGGGGTGGTGCAAGATACGTTTACGGTGCGAATCCTGCAGATCTGGACGCCTTGCCTATCCTCCCAAATGATATTCGATACCGACACGACGCAAAGGCATTCGCTAAGGCAAAGGCTGCAGGCATAGCAGCGCCGAACGCGGCCCAGGCAAAAGCTGCACTCCAGCACTTTGTCACTTTAGTCCATCCGATTGCCAGGACAGCAATCGCTGCAAAGCATGGAGGCGCAGTCGCAAACAATTTCCCCACTCCGGGCCATCTTACAGTCCAGCGGAATGACGACACTGTAAGAAGTGTCTTTGCTTTGAGTGGCGGCGTCTACGGAGGAACACTTGCTGCCCGCCAAGCATTTGCCGACGAACATAATCGAGTAGTGCTCCCACCCTTTGATCCGAAAGCTCTGGCTTTAGATCCGCCTCTTGGCGCCCCGGGACCGAAGCCAAAACCGAAGCCTATGCCAAAACCGAAAGGAAAGCCAGCTGGTGGTGGGGTTTAGGAGGCGTCCATCACACCAATAACCTGTTAGTTTGAATGACGCCGTCGTTGGAAAGCAGCGCATCGGAGATTTAGCCGCCTGGCCCTGAATTTCTATCGTGCATTGTGGACGCATGTCAGAGCCACTAGGAATTCATGCAAGTCTTAGCTCAAGACGAGCGACAGCTTCCCCTGCTGAAAAAAATCCGTTCGCTCAGGTGAGAACAAAGTGGGCTGCGACTTTCGACGATGCCGACAGTCTTGTCTTCGATATGATTTGGCAGAAAGAAAGGCACTTCTGCTGTTTGCCACGAGCTATCGATAGAAACTTTGATCCCGGTTGAGCCTGTGTTTTTTATGAGGATTGATCCACAGTGTGCTTCTTACTAAGAAAGTATTTTTGTCGTCACTGCAACATTTTTATTAGAAATTGAAATACATATAGCAGCATCGACTTCAAAACCTTCTTCCGAAAAAATGCCGTGTACTCCGTGTATTTTTTCGATCCACATAATTCCCCTTCCTGGGATTAGTTTACCATAGTTTTAAAATCCTCTGGATAATTATTCAGATATATTCATTCTGGCTGCGCGGTAGATTCTTATTCAAGTATGTCGATAGTAAGAAATACAGCCACTTTTCCGGATTGTTTGGCTGCGTGGGTTATTTTATTTCTGTAGATTGTGTATGATATCGATATGAACATTCTGGGCACGCATTCAAAAGAAGAACAGGCATCAAAAAATAGATATTTGCCCCTTTCCGGATGTTTCGAGGCACATTGCTATTGACGTCCTTGAGCAAGCAGTCACGCTTTGTGGAAAATGATAAAACATGTAAAATGAAAAGATGAGAAGTCGTTTCGTCCGCGCGTCAATAGGTGACATCTTTGAAAGTTTCGAGCGTTTTCAATCGACATTTGATGACATTTACGTTTCGACCATGCACCGGACGTGTACTCTCACAGATGAAGGTGTGGAAAATGTCTATGAAAGTGTAGCTACGTCACTACAATGCTTCAACAGGTCTGTGATTTACGAGCATGATGCATTCGTGAGTCATTCACTCGTCAGCGCAAGAAATGTAAAGCAGCCCTGAAAAAAAGAAAAACGCAGACATTGCTGGGGAGACGCAGTTTTCTCTTACACTCAAGGATTCGCAAATATGTTCGGGAGCAGCAATTACACTGATATATCATAAGGCAAAATCAAGGAACACAGAGCGGCCAGCCAGTCATTTTCACCTGAGCAAAAATTACACCTCGCGAAATGGATCTGCAAAAAAGCCGAGGATACGTGCGCCTTTCATCCAGATTATACGCTGTGAAAACATCTAGGTCGAATGCATAACATTAATGCTCATGTTCGCGCGAAGAAATGACAAAAGATGCAAAGAAACCGGAGCTCAGATCAAAAGGGCGGACAGCGTCAGTAATTACGCTCACCAAAGAGGACTAGAAATTAAAGGAACATTTTTTTCGTCATTTATGCAAACCCAGGCGATGCATTTGGAGCAATTTTTCAACCGAATAAGTTATTTGCTAATGATGTATCATTCATTGTACTACTTAATCATGATGATAGTGAGCACTGCCATGGAGCGCGCCTCGGCATGTTTCAAGCTCGCTTTTTTTTCCAAATTTGTTCGGAAATTGTATCTCTTTCTGCCTATGTGCATCTTTCGGAAGATAGTGAGAGCAAGAAGAAGCGAAGCTAGTGTGTAGATGAAATTGAATTTGTTGTTTCCATTGGTGACGCTTCGAAATTTTTTCAAACCGAGGTTTTATCCTCACTAGCCTATTCCCGTTCTGGAGATATAATTGACGCTCATCTCCACAAGTGTCACAAATTATAGTAAGATGGGCGATCCCGTTAGAGCGAATCTTCATTTTCCCAATTCCCAAAGCAGTCCAGAAAGCCGGAAAAAGATGGAATTGTCAATCCGTGATCTCGCAGGAAATCGTTTGTGTGCCGTTCCAGTGGACCAAGACCAGGAGAGTATTCTTCTCCGAGATGTGAAAAAAATCGTGGCAGAGATTTCTTGCCGTGGCGGACGCCATAGCATTCTCTTCGGGCAGGGCATTCTAGTTGACCAGAAGGTCTTTGAAGACGCTTGTTCGAATAGCATGATCACGGAACGACCCCCAGCGCCAAGAAATTTCCAGGAGACCGAGCTAACGCAGGCCGCCGCGGAGCAGTTTGCACGGAAGTATACGACTCAAATCCGAGAGCAGGGTGATGTATCTGAATCGCGGGAAAGTTGCCTCGAATCGCTCGTGTCGGCAGAACCAGTTGCGCTAGCAGCGGATCACTGCAATGGCCCTCCTGCCGGAAGTCAATGTGCCCCGGAACCCGACGAACACGAAATGAACAAATGCATCGTGAGGGATGGGCGCTTTCCAGTTCCGTTGCGGAGGGAGGACGGGCAGCGAGTGACGGAGATCCAAGTTGTATTCGACAGTCGTGCGGAGGAAGCGTTTCGCTGCGCCCGTCGCCGCCTTGAGAAGACTAGTGCGTCTGAGCAGAACGAGTTCTTGCGGTATTCGGAGTGGCAGTCATGTTCCCAATTTATTGACGACCTTCAGGTAGTTGCCCATCACGAAGTAGCGGACGACTTACAGACCGACCGCGATCTCCCGGAAGAGTTAGACGAGAGGACGCATATAGTCTGTTGCTGCTGCAGATACAAATTGCAGGAAGGGGAGCTGCCGTGTCTCTGCGAGCAATTAACTGACATATATCCTCCCGGGGTAGACTCAAACTTCGGCACGTGCGATTTCGAATTTCGCGAGGCTTTGGTCAAGCTTGCAGTCGGGTCATCTTTAGAGTGGGATCCGTGTTCGAACCCGCAAGCAATAGAGATGGGAAGTACTGCGTCTCTTTTTCGATCAAGCAGGGACCTCACTCTGTTGGCATGTAGCATTAATGGCCTAGCGCTTCGCTACGCGACCCCAGTTTTACGCAAGGACTCGGATTTAGTCCGGGTTGCAGTGTCCAGGGATTGGCGATCTTTACGCTTCGCAGATGTACTCCTAAGATCCTCGCTGGAGTACGAGGACATTGCTGAGTGTGCAATCAGGCAAAACGGATGGGCCTACAAGTATCTTCGAGGCGACCTTCAACACAGTATTTCCATGATCAAGCTAGCCGTGGAGCACAAACCGTGGTGTCTCCGTTGTGTTCCTGCGGAAGTGCGGGCTTCATCTGCCGAAATACTTGCGAGAGCTGCAGCAACGGACGGAGTTCCCGCACTAAAATTTTGCGCGCAGCGCCTGCAAACAAAGCAATTGCTGCAAGTGGCGGTGAAGTCGAATGGACTAGCGCTGAAGTATTGTTTGCCCGAGCTTGTTGATAGTAGTATTGTGGAGCTCGCTGTGCTGGAAAATCCATACGCTCTTCGGTTCGTAACAGACGAAGCACTCAGAAGTGACGCTGGCATCCTACTGAAACTCCTTCGCGGTCCGAGCCCGATGCTGCGAGCTTCTTGGCATTTTCCATGGAAAGGAACGACAGATAGCTTAGCTCTTGGCTTTGGGAGCAGGCACTGTGTACCACAAACCGGGGGAAGTCCTTCAATTTTTCCACTCCCATTTTTTTCCGCCAAAGATAGAAGTGGCTCGTCACAGTCTTGCGGCGACGAACTCGCTAGTGAGAGCGCGGCTTGTTCTGAACACAAATGCACGCCTTCCTGCGGTTGTTCCGCGTGTTTGCTCGCTAGTACAAAGTGGAATCGCACGCCAGCCCGATTTTCGAAATGTTTGCGAGCTACCACAAATGAAACGGTGAGGCGACACGCATGTCTCTTGCAGCGGTACATTCAAGTCGCCGACTTCTGTGGAGATGGAGAGCACATCTGTAACGCAGTTTGCCACCGGCAGGGGCACTTCTACCCCACTACTGACGAGTTTACTGAGAGCAATGATGTTCTCACAGCGCACTTCGAGAACCTGCAGGAGGAAGAGTTCGCTTCAGTTCCAGAGGATCTTCCTGCCTTAATCCTACAGAAAGGGAAGCAAGCTGATCTCTGCGATAACACGGAACTCATTCGCCAGTGCGTCAAGCTTGACGGACTTTGCCTCGAGCACGCTAGTCTCCGACTCCGTTGTGATCGCGAAATCGTCCGAGAGGCAGTCGCTCAAAACCATGACGCGCTGCTTTTTGCAGAAGGTGACCTGCGTCGAGACCCAGAATTTATTGTGGAACTTATGGAACACGCGTGCGCAGGTTCGTTTTGGAACGCAGACAAGGAAACTGTGCAGGATGTTTTACTTCTCGGACGCGCCGGCAGGGATCTCTCGTTACGGGCCTTTCGCGCACGGCCCTGCCTCCTGGAATTTGCGCAGCCAGAATTCAAGAAGGATTCCGCTATCGCTGAAGCGGTGTTGGCTCTTGATGGCACAGCCCTGCGGTTTTTGGATCCTCTTTTTCAACGCGAAAGGCGCTTCGTGCATCTTGCGATGACAGCTGGCGGTTGTCTCGATCACGCCGCGGAGTCGCTGCGACACGACGATGAATATGAAAATCAATTCCGTTTCAGTGTCCTTGTCGGTTGTGAGGAAATTTTTCTCATCACCCTCTTGCCGCAAAGTTTTTCGTATGCAGAAGCAACATACGTCCCTCGTGCGGTACGATGGACGTAAGGCACGGTGCCTCATGAGGCACGGTGCCTCATCTCATGCGATTGGCAATACGTAAAGCCACTGTTTTCCTATGCAAAGCTGTAAGCCTTTTCTGCTCAGGTGCGATTTTGTGTTTGGCATCAGCAGAAGATATCGAGAAATAAGCGCTATCAGTGCGGCGCCCGCTTTGCCTCTCGCTGACGCGCGGGCGCGCCTCGTGAGAATTATGACGTGCAAAGATTTGTTTATGAGTTGCAAAGACGCGGCATTTGCATTTGAACTGATCCCACGACTACTTCTGGCAACAGTCAGCTTCGCAAGAGACCGACAGAGGTAACGATTACAATTTTCATAAGCCGTTGATTCGAGAACAGATCCTGTCGAATGCTGGAAAACTTAGCGCTTTATCTCTGAACGAGCGATACACGGCTCGTCGAAAACTCTTGCCTTATTGGGAACAGACCATGAATCGGACTGCGAATAGAACCTGTGGCGATCCAGTTCTACTAGAAGCCGCACTACTCCTCGGTATCGCTACTTATAAGCACATCCCATGCGATCTTGATCACGTTCTTACTCCAGCAATGGCACGATCCACGCTGAAGGAGCTACGCCGTACATTCGGACTCTTACCTCTCAATCCCCCGCCAAAGCACCTCAGCGACATCCCGTCTTCGATGCAAGGTGATCCCTTGGTCCAATGCGAATTCTATGTGGAGGCTGTGACTACTCGTCGTCGCAACCTCGAACGAGATACAATTTTCACCGGATTGACTACGACCCAGGCCTTCTGCCAAACCTTCTTTCTGTACATGGATGTCGAGGACGAAGCTTCGGTGTTCTATTCGTCGAAGGAGGACGCGGAGGAGTACGCGCTCTGGACGCTGCAACGAGCTCCCTGGGGCGCAGAAGTGTACTTCCTGTTTCCGAACTCCGTCCGCGATTCTGCAAAAATTCAAGACGCGTTTTTTCAGTTGTGTGGCGAACCGCTTGAAATCGGAAATTTGGTTGGCTTTACTTTGATGCATTGCGCGGAGCTCACGAGAAAAAGGTGTACGACATTAGAAGGAGAATGGTCTAAATATGAGCGCAGCCGGAAAAGCGGGGTGCCCGAAGTCACCTGGAGAACAACCGGGACCTACAGCCCGGTCGAACAATATCTCCGCTTGCGGTTGCCAGCAGGCCACGAGACCCCCGAGAAGAGTGCACAGCTTAGCACAGCTGAAGCCCGTAGAGAGATGATGGCTCCGCCACCTTTTGCCTAAGTAGTAGTTTCTTCAGCATCCATTGCGCCTTCCGACCATCCACCGAAAAGATAAGTTGATCAATCGTTCGAGGAAAGAAGTAAGATTTGTGGATTCTACGATCGTCCTGGTTATTGAATAGCAATGGCAGTACCGTTTTTGAGCGACCTTTTCTGCGCGTTCATATAAAACTGCGCGACGAAAGGGGTGCAACCTGCCTTCTCGACCCCATGCGTGACGTGGATGATTTTATTGATTTTTTTGAAAGAGAAACCAGCAGATAAGATGAACTTAGTATCAGCAACATGGAATCGTCTACGACGTGACTGAACATTTATCGTGTGCTAGGACCAATCTAATAAATAGAAACTGCGCAGCGTATTCATAATTCAGTAACTACTTTCGAAGTATTCAGCAACTACCGATGCCTGGTTTCTGTCGCGCCAAGTTGAAGGTGACCGGCGCGTCAGAATTCTGTATGATAAGGCGCGCGGACACCCATCAGAAGGTGAATTTCTCCACGTGGAAAATCCTGAACCTGATTTGACGAAGACAAGATGAAAACGAAGCGAATTGAGGAAAGAAGGTATGCGATTTGTTTTCCACCTTCATTTTGCAGGAGTATCTTCAAGGCGATCAACTTTGCCGTCAACTCTACTCAGTCGCCAGGTATTAGTTCATCCGTCCCTTCCCTGCAGAGAAAGGAAAAAAGCTCATCACATGCAAAGCTCTTGCCTACGTGAGCACGAATGTAAAGCAATAAATCTTCAAGGGTCCTCAGCGCTGGTTTCGCCAGGACCTAGACCTGCAAAAGAGGCACTTTCTCCCACTGTCACACAATTCCATCGGCAATTTCTCTGGAGTGATCTTTTTCTTTGTAGTTCTCGACTAAAAATACAAACTGCGTAAGTAGCAAAGCCAAAGTTGATCATGCCGCATAATTATAGTTGCTCCGTCACTCCCTTTCCAGTTCATGCTCATCGTGATCACCGGGTACTTGAATTTGGACAGAGGAAGCTTGCATCTGAATCATGATTTGAAGACTTAGCTGGCTCTAGAAGTGGATTAGATCTTCATATGTAACCAGTCAGGTCACCGAGCGGTTCTACCGTGCAACGCTAATTGCGCCTCGTCGAAATAAGAAAGCTACAGCATAGGATTCACCAAGCAGCTTGCAAACGAAACGATCCCTACAGAAAACACGCCGCAGAAGGTAGAACTGCCTACAGGCGTTCTCAGCAATAGAGCATCACCAAACTAAACGTTATTGCTACATACAGGAGTAGACAGCCTATCAAGAGGTAATCGCTTTTGATAGCGCAGGAGCAGGTCGTGGGGGGTATACCCTGAATCCGGAAACTCTCTTCCATTGGCTCTGAATATGGAAACAGATCTGAATAAGTAGTGCAATCCCCTTCACGCGCCGGTTGGTGAATTCATAGCTTTGAGCTCCGTTGACGCCTCGTTGTCGTGTGCTCAGGGCCAGCGAACAGCAGAGTTTAGCAGTGTTTAGGCGTCACAGGCGTAGGAGATGATCTCATCTGAAGCTGATCCGGTGCTCCTCCGAAGATCCATAACTGACTCCGCTGTCATCTGCAATTGCTCCGCATCATCAGAGATCCATCGGACACGGAATAAAGGAGAGCTTCCTCCGCGAAAAATAGCACGTACTAACTTGGGTATCCACGGCGCAGTCTGGAGCTGTCCGCGCCAAGATCAGGATCATCAATTTTTGTGATGTCAATTATAGGCTGCTCCAGATAATCAAAGCACTCTCCGAAGTTGCACAACGAACAAGCCACGATTGCAACACAATTGCTGTCAGCGACCAAGTACTGAGTCACGGGATCACGCACGTTGATCGCGTGATCAGTTGCCGCAGGCACACACGGTCGGCATTTCGTTGCAGGCGCATCGATGCTGTAGCTGTTTCTGGTGGTTCATGATCACAAGGAAGATCTCTACCTCTCCTGCCGCTTGCAGCGATGTGATTATTTTCGCATTGGTGGATATCTATGAAAACAACACACTTGAAATTTTTGCAATCATTCCATGGCATTTCAGGTCCCGCCGCTTTTCCACCTGCCTGGTTCTGTCATCTTTATGACTTACTCTCATATTTATGGAGGTACACAACGCTAGATAGTGTAGTCTCGAAAAGTCTTCTTGAGGTGTTTGTCTTTCATCCTTCTCCGATCTTCCTGAGTTTAGGATGGCAGGTAGAATTTTTTTTATTTTTGTTTATTAACCATCTGCCCCAGACGTGAATTGGAAAGGCGCAGGACTGCATAGTGTTGAAACTCAGCATATTATTGAATACTTGTCTGTTGCCATTTGTCGTGGTATGTGGGGGGACAAAAAAAGTGCGCATCTTATCAAATATAAGGTGGGGATATTGATGGATAGCTTGTTTATTTCTTCAAAAGCAAAACGACAATGCCGACGCTTTGCAGTCGGAAGAAGTTTGCAGCGGTGATGGTTTGCCTCCAGCAATATTGTCACGCCGGTCAGCCACAACAAAAGTGCCGGCCTCTTCCAAATAAGTCGTTGCCAGTCCAGCGAGCAGAGTGCTGCGCGGACGGCTCCGACGGGGAGACGACGGGACACAGCTGCGCCTCCGACCTGGAAGAGGGTGCCCCGCCGGAGGAATCGGACAACGGCTGGAGAATGGCGGTGAACGGCTCAGGCGGCGGCTCAGCCAGCAAGAGTGGGGCCGAGCCAATTGCTCAGGAGAGCGAGGCTCTTGAGACGTTGAACAGAGCAGTGACTCCAGAAAAGCGAAACCGTCTGGAAATCGAAAACTCGTGCCGCAACGAAGAGAGCGTGGACCTCTGTCGCCAGCAAGCGGGGGCCGAGCGTGCTTTGGCTGCAAAGAAAAGATCCGATGAAAAAACACAGCAAGTGAGAGTGAGGCATGAAACGCTGTATAATTCACAAAAGAATGAAAGCACCGATATAGAGGCAGAACTAAAGCAGCAAAGCGAAAGAGAAGAGGACGCGGAACTGGGGCACAGCGGATACTGTCCCCTTAACCTTGACAGTAAGCTGCCGCTTCTGTCTAGTCACGCAATGGCGAAGAGGATGCTGAAGCTGAATGGACATGAGGCAAAAGTCTGGGTCTCGAGTCGCAAAACAACTGACGCTGAGCGAGGCATCCCTTATGCTGATGAAAACGAGCAAGTCTCCTACCGTGCAATGTTGCGATCCCGTAACAAGTTTTACCGATTGGTTGAGCTTGTCTGCAAGGCCTGCGAATTCACCTTCCGCTTTACCTTCGAAACGGATTTCGCGCCGGATGAGGTTTTCAAAAAAAAGCTGTTTGGATTGCATGACAAAGAAGCTAGAGTCAGATACCGAGCCGATCAACATAAGTTCCAGGAAGAGGTTTTGCTTTTATCCATAGAATATTAGAACGCACTTGGGGAAAACATATAAAACATATTTGAGGCCTAGGACTATACAGAAAATGTATATCCCGCCACAAAGCTCGCGACGTTTTCTTTCCATCACGATGCAATTTACACCACATGGGTGACTGTGCTAATTTCAACCAGCGCAAGAATTTTTTTTTGAGTGTCGACACAAAGAATGTGAATCAGGACAAGCTGCAAAACGTACTGGCTTGGAGAAACCTGACGACTTCAGAAGTTCTGCAAGATCCGTCATGAAAGGGAGGCTCTTTCCAGGCAATTTGTTGGCATATGAGAGCGCATTGTCATCTTTTGGTCGGTAACGTCTCATCACGCTTGCGAGTGGTCGTGCATCTGCATTCGACTTCGGTCATTACATCGATACGAAAACGCAAAAAGATCCATGATCTCCCAATGGAAACTCACAGAAAATATATATCTCATGCGAAGGCACGTCCGCAACCGCAACCTCCGCACAAGTAAAGCCAGTATCGCACGAACGAACCAGCGACAAGTCAAAACGAAAGAAAAGTTCAGATACAAAGATCTAGAGGTAGAAAACAAGGAGCTGCATCAAGATGCAAAAGTACAATTGGAATGGTCAGGGTCGTCGACTATCGATACTTGCCGAGCAGCCTCTATCTTCGATTAAAGATCGCACGCGGACCTGCCGTCGCGTGCTGACGTGTTGAAAATTCTCAAACTTTCCTTCTTGTTGTACTGATTCCTTGTTGTACAATTTACGTACTTGTGCTGAACTAATCTATCAAAACAACCAAAAAGACAAACATAATATGAATTTATAATTTGTGGCCTTTTGTTGGAATGAGTACGAGCAGCAGTATTCCTCAATTGCTCGCATTGGCGACAAACTTCTATGCACAGTGTTTGTCTCTATGGTGATGATATCACCAACATCTATAATTCTGGCCGACGAAGGTTCTCTTTTAATTGGGGAGTCGGCATATACATAAATATACTTGTCTCCTGATACTGATACTCAGTCAAACTCATACTGGGAATCGGCATGTACTCCTGATATTGATATCTGTCTCGTAAGCCAATAAGTATTCAGTATTCATTTCACTTCCTTGTGTATTGCGTTTACTTTGGAAGTAGATGTGCCGACCATTAAAGACGTGTAGTTTGTGCACAGCTAACAATGTAGTTAGTAAAACAGGACACTGGTGTCTTCCAGCAGGGCCGTGCCACTTCTGAGAAGAAACAAGAGTAGCAGTGGGTCTCACATGCGGCCATCAGCTACCGGAGACGAACTTAGCCGTGAGCGGATCTGGGTAAATTCGTCTTCGCAAGGGAACTATGGAACACGCCTCGAGCGCGCGCGGGCTCCAGGGAAGGACTGGCAGACCAGCTGGACCGCCACCATGGAAGAACCCTGGGCCAGGCGGTCTACGGCACATGAAGGCTACATCAAGGGTCGCACGACGGACGAATCCTGCCCACAACGTATGGAACGCCTAGAGGGCTACACCAAGGGTCGCACGACAGACGAATCCTGCCCACCACGTAGAGAATGCATAGGACAAGGCTACACCAAGGGTCGCACGACGGAGGAGTCAGGCCCACCTCGTAGGGAACGCAGGGAGGGCTACACCAAGGGTCGAACGACGAAAGAATCTTGCGATAGGGGACGAATTGCCCCAGAATGTTATGCTAGAGAACTTGCGACGGAGAAGCACCTGGTCAACGGGAGCGCCACAAAATCACCCGCGATTTCTGCCAGAGATGGTTCGTTTGTGGTTGGTGAGCTGCTCGGGCGCGGTGGTACGGAAATCCTAAATTGATGTTTTAGTTGTGGACTAAAAACTCGGGCAACATTTTTTCTTTACGATAGATACAGCCATCAGCTCTTCTCGGAAAGCAAGAAGGAAAGAAGCAATGCTCTGCTTTCTAAACCTTGATGTACGACACCCCATCTCCGAAATCTATCATGGGAATTTGTTTCGTAGGCCCGTGTTTTGACTTTCTGTAACTCCGACAGGCAGCGCAGCTATTGATTTCTGTACATGCAGGTCGTGCACACTGCGCAATGACAGGCCACTTGCATTCGTAAATGAATCCGTTAGTTACTGAATTCTCATCGAAATCGAAGCCGCCGGCCAGCACATCAGGCCAGTGTAGCAGGTGATATTTACGCACTTCTTGACCGTACTTTTCTCCTCAACACAATTCAGGTTCTGGACAAGTTTATCGCGTCACAGACAAAAACGGAATTGATTATGCCCTCAAACTCGTGACTGCGACGCGGAAGGAGAGTTTGCAGAAACTTCAAGCCGAAGTGGCGCTTCTGAGGCAGCTGTCGTCAGGGCGATCGTGTCTTCTCGACAGACCTACTGTACAGGAAGAGCCGGATAAGAAGAGCACCGGAACGAGCTCTTCCGGCTCACATCAAGGACCGCGACGCGCTGGGCCGCGATACTCGACCGGCTGTCCTGTCGTGCACTGTTATGCAGCTGCTGAGCCCCCTAATTACAACCTCCAAATAGTGTAACTTGAACGCGTCTCATCCGAGCATGTGTGATAGGATGCTTAATGACCTATCAAAACGACTCTTCATTTAGGAGCGCTTTTTCATATCGTCCGATCAGTTTTACTTTTGCCTTCGCTCTTGCCGAGGACTAGAATCATGATCAGAGGGACACTCAGTCCCGTTTCTATGTTTGTGATCAGTATTTTAAAAAAGGAACATTCCGTCCTGACCGTTCGTATCGCATCACGAGTGCGGATTAGCGGGCTCGCGTCCACAAAATCTACGACACCAGAATCGACTGGGCTCGACTGCAAATGTATTTTTTGATGGAGCTGGCTGATTGTGACTTCGACACGCTTCATAAACAGTTTTTCTCGGAGCGACGGAAACAAGATTTGGTGGCCGAGCGATGCGTTGATCATTCTACCCCCGGTCCCGAAATGGGAGAGGGAATGCCTTTTGAGATGATTGGCCAATACTGGGGCCAGATGATAGACGCTGTCGAGTACATTCATGCACAGAACATCATTCACTTCGACCTGAAGCCCGCAAACTTCCTGCTTTTCGAAAAAAAGCAGCGCGTAAAGCTTGCAGATTTCGGCCTGGCACAGATGCTGTACGAGGAGCAAACGCACATAAGCCGACATGGCCAGGTACGGTTATTATTTATTACCCCATGTGAGTGTCTTGCTATGTTCTATGTTAGTTTTTTATCGCCTAGTATAGCATCAAAACCTTGTTCCATCTGATGTATGCTTGTCAAAGTTGTGTGTCGATCCTCCTCCCTCTCCAAGAATATAAATATAAGTGAGACACATTCTTTATCTCAGTGTGGCACCTTTCTGTACATGGCTCCTGAAGCGTTTTACCAGGGGGATCAGTACGAACAGAGCATGAAGCTACGGTTTGGCGTTGACATCTGGTCACTGGGAATCATCCTGTATGCGATGCTCTACGAACGCCCACCGCACTTCTGCCTTCTCAAGGACAGAAATACAGGATAGGCGAAGAAACAAAAGTCTTCTGTTGCTCCCTTGCGTCGCAGCTGCGCGGCTACTTCAGTTGCTGCATATAGAAAAAATGACCTGCTACAGTTCCTGGAGCTGAGATGTAGTTCTTGTAGTATTCATTTCATTATAGTAGGTTACAGCAAATAGCCTTGACTACACTTGCTTGTGGCCGCTTCGGCTTGGGGTCCTGTGACTCTCTTGCACTGAAGATTCATTTTTATATTTGCGTAGTCAGGCTCCGCAAATGCTAGTCACTGAATGCAGCAGCGAGAAGGAAGATGCCTGAGATTCCCTCACGTGCACCCAGCACGAAAGTGTATGAAATGGCTCAGCAGCTTAAGCACGCATGGGACGTACAAGAAGCAACTTTTTTCCTTTAAAGAGAAAAGCCCGTGCCCTGCGGAATGAATCGGGTAATGTGCGCAATTTTGGATCCTTGTATGGAGATTCAGTACCCCGCCCAGAAGCATTTTTTTGATGTGCCTGTTTCCTCCAAGGTGTCGTCGCCTGCCTCTGAAGCTGAAGCACAAAGTAGCTCCGCACGAACGGCACGTCTGACGGAAACGTCTGAGCGTGAGGTAACTCTGCCGGAAATGGAATTAACCGAAGACCGATCTTCGTCTTCGTCGGCTTGCCCGCCGTGCCGTGCGCCTGAAGAGGACGTAGCGCGACAAGAGCACCTGATGTACCTTTTGCAAAGCTGCCTAGAACGAGATCTAGAGCAGCGCATTGACACGATTTCGCTACAAGACGAGTCTTGCGCATTGTTTTCCTTCGATTGGCGCGGCCTCGCCGTTAGCGATCCACTGTGCTCAGGACCACCACTCCTTTCATTTCAAAAAGCAAAGACACGACCACTGCCGGGAAGTTTTGTCACCCTACTGCATCGCCCGCAGCATTCTTCGAAAAGTGCAGTCTCAACATTGCCCTCTGAGAACTGCACTACGACACAGACTCTCCCCAATGATGGCTTGCAATCATCGGCGAGTGCAGCAAGCAGCCTGGCATCGCATACAACGACTTGTAGAGCAACGCCGATGAACGCAGCGACTCAGTATCGCGACGCCTGCTTCAGTGAAGTCATCGCGTGTTCTGCGAGCGAGGTCACATTTCAACTAAAGAACCCGGACAACGAATTGGGAAGGACACTAAATGAGAAAGTGCAACGCATTTTGCAGAAGACGCAGGAAGACGATGCGCGAGAATCTGGGTTCTTAATGAAGGATGGCGAAACTGTCCCTGATTTAGAAAGCAAGCTTGTCCACCACAAGAATTTTGCAGAGGTGCCCGGCAGGGCAGCATCTGTGCCGCCTCTGGTTGCCGACGACGCAGCGCTTTCAGGGGGCACAACATGTAAAGTGAGTGGCGACATTATCAACCTGCCTGCAACGGGTCTAGACGATCACGATGTTGCTCGCGCACCGGATAGGTGTACGCAGGAGAAATTTTGATTGTACTTATTCGAAAAGTGCGGCTAGAGCCATACGTCTTTCTCACTAACATCGACATTCTGGATTGATAGTTTGAGAATATTTTCAAAAAGCGAGATTTTGGAGAATGTTTTGCATTGCGATAGATCAACATAAATATAATGTCGTGCATGGCTGTTTATCGCGTTCGGTTCTCGTTGCCAAATGCATGCAATGCAAGACCTAGACCTTCGAGCGTGTCGGAAAGATTAGAAAAACGCTGTTACGCTCTGGACACTGCAACAAAGACTTTTGTAGCCGGAAGAAAAATGAGAATGGCGGCGGCACAACAAACCCACGTCCTTCGAAGAGTTTTGCGGTCATACCTCTTCCGGACACCTTATCAAGCAGAGAACATTTTCATAGCGGAGCGATTTGCATTGCACTTTGCAGCTCGCTGCCCTTTTCAAAACTTGCATTCGTCTTACGTAGGCATGCTTGCCTGTAAGTAAGGGAAAGAGGCGAACAGAAATATTTTTCAGGGCTTCTGGGTGCAGCGCGTCGCTACTGGAGAGTCTATTCCATAGAAAAGAACTATCATAAGGAAGAATTGCGCTCCCCGCACTGAAAAAAAAAGAAATCATGTTCATTTGTGACAACTCCGGTCGTATTGAATGAAGGTAGTGCGAAAAATTTACGTTGCATGTTGTAACCAATTTGTATTGCTGTTTGTGGCGCAGCAGAGCTACAAGCCATGCCAAACTACAGGTACGCGCATGTATCCCTGCGCAGGCCTAGAAGCTACCTCCTGAACGCCAATTGTCTTTTTCCAATGCAACATGTCTTGTGAACATACATATCGCACCACACCGAGTGATTTTTTGAGCATGGGTAGGGCATTTTTTTCATTTTCATAAGATTGAGTTTATCCCTTTCCCTAGTCTCTGTTTGGTGTTTGCGCAGCAAGCAGAAATAAATGCATGCGCTGGGGCCGCGCGAGTGAGTAGGTGTGGGCGCCCGCACTATCAATACTGTATCTGTGTGTAGCGCAATTACTCATCACGCCGCGACGAAATTGCTTCTCAGCTATAGGAGGATGGGTTGGCAGATGTGTGTGAAGCTCCGGGCGATGATTACCCTTGTCCAATAGAGGCAGAACCCGGTGCCTCGGCGTGCGATACTACTGCGAAAATAGACGAAGACGCGACGCGTTTTGGAATCGACGACGCAGCAGCGACAACTGGCTCAGCGGTTTGGAGCACAATCGCCACTTTAGTTGGAACAGTCGGACTCCTCGCGGCATCAGGCGTCATTAGCTCTTTTGTCCCCTCAAATAGTGATCCGATCAGGCATAGCTCTGCTGGTGAGCCAGGTAGCGGAGTCGTAGCGTTGCCTCCACAAAGCGTCTTTGGTGGGGGCGATGACGACAGGGGGCACACTAACTGGCTTACGAATTCCGATCCAGAGCCGTCTGGTCGTCTTGACGTCTCAAGCATACCGCGGGCAGTTACTACAACGAATGTAACTCCAGCACCGCCTGTTGCAGTGGCGGGCATAGAGCACCATGGTGGGAGTGACGATGACAGGGGGCACACCGGCTGGCTTACGAATACTAATATGGGGCCGCCTGGTCTTGCCGTCTCAAGCGCACCACCGGCAGTGGCTACAGCAAGTGTAGTAACTCCCGCCCAGCCTGTTGCAGTAACGGGGCCTGACTTGCACGAGGCCCAGCATCAAGAGCACCATGGTAGGAGTGACGATGACAGGGGGCATACCGACTCCTGGCTTACGAATACTAATATGGGGCCGTCTGGTCTTGCCGTCTCAAGCGCACCACCGGCAGTGGCTACAGCAAGTGTAGTAACTCCAGCCCAGCCTGATGCAGTGACTGTGACGGGGACTGACTTGCATGAGGCTCAGCATCAAGAGCACCATGGTGGGAGTGACGATGACAGGGGGCACACTGACTTGCTTACGAATTCTAATGTGGGGCCGTCTGGTCTTGCCGTCTCAAGCGCACCACCGGCAGTGGCTACAGCAAGTGTAGTAACTCCAGCCCAGCCTGATGCAGTGACTGTGACGGGGACTGACTTGCATGAGGCTCCGCATCAAGATCACCATGGTGGGAGTGACGATGACAGGGGGCGCACTGACTTGCTTACGAATTCTAATGTGGGGCCGTCTGGTCTTGCCGCCTCAAGCGCACCGCTGGCAGTGGCTACAGCAAGTGTAGTAACTCCAGCCCAGCCTGATGCAGTGACTGTGACGGGGACTGACTTGCATGAGGCTCAGCATCAAGAGCACCACGGTGGGAGTGACGATGACAGGGGGCACACTGACTTGCTTACGAATTCTAATGTGGGGCCGTCTGGTCTTGCCGCCTCAAGCGCACCGCTGGCAGTGGCTACAGCAAGTGTAACTCGAGCCCAGCGTGTGGCAGTGACGGGGCCTGACTTACACGAGGCCCAGCATCAAGAGCACCATGGTGGGAGGGACAATCATGACAGCGGGCACACTAACTGGCTTACGAGTTCTAATATGGGGCCGTCTGGTCTTGCCGTCTCAGGCGCACCTTTGGCAGTGGCTACAGCAAGTGCAAACCCAGCCTCTGCAGTGGCGGCCATTGACTTGCACGAGGCCCAGGTCCAACAGACACAGACGCAAAATACTCAGCAGCAGCCCCAGCAACAAGCCAATGTGGAGCAGCGGGCACAGCAACAAGCCATTTCGCAGCAGGCCCAGCGTCAGCCGCAGGGACCGCAGCAGGCTTCGTTGTTGGTGGCTCAGCGACAGCAGTTGGCACAGCAACAAGGCACCTTGGAGCAGCCCGCCGAGGAGGGGCGCGGGACGGAGCGACAGCTACAGCACCACACACAGCACGACGCTACGTCGCACGCGAGTCCACGCCAGCAGCTGGCACAGCCGCAACTCACGTTGGAGCAGCCCGCCGCTCACGAGACAGAGCGACGGATCCAGCTCCAGACACCGCATAACCAGCAGACCGCGGAGGCGGATGGGGCCCAGATGCTGGAGCAAGAAACTCAGCACCTAGGGAGAACGCGTAGCCAGCCAACCGCAGAAGAGCAGGCGGAGCGACAGCTCCCGCAGCAGGCCTCAACGCACGACCAGGTCCGAACTCAGAACACCGAGACCGACGACCCAACGAAGCAAAGCCTCCAGCTACATGTCCCGCCGTTGTATGACGAACAGCAACAGCTGCAAAATCAACAGACACGACAGCAACGCCAGACATTGCAGCTTCAGGAACAACCTTCGCCCGATGGTCGCGCAACAAACAAAGATGTGTCAGGCCCTTCAGCATTCACCACGTCGGCGTGGTCGTTCGATGCCGCGCCAATTGCAGGAGAGGCCTCCCGCCAGGCAAGCGGCCCCTATCGCGCCTTCGCAAGTCAGCTAGCCCCGTGTGTGGCAGCCATTATTTCGGATACTGCCGGCTCTACTGCTCGTAGTGGCACGAGTAACCAGAGAACACAGGAATCCGTCGGGGTGCCCCACTTGAGCGAAGATGCTTTAAGTGCAGTGGTTCGAACAGCGTTGACCGGCACGACTACTATCGTGCCAGACCAGCTTGAATCGCCGGCGACACAATACACCACGCTTTCGGAGCTCGCTCATCAAGCCGAGGTGCAGAAGAGCATAGCGCAGTTTGAGCTCAAGAGGAAAGAAGCAGAAGATCGCTGGAATGAACGTTTCGAGCTCGAAGAAGCAAGACATGCGCGCGTTGACGCGGAGCTCGAGGAAGAAAGGAGCGACAACATAAAAGCACGAGACCAGCGGCGACAGGAGCTCGCCGCCGAAAAGTCCCGCTATGAAGATGTAGAGCGATCGCTGGAAGCGGAAAGGGATAGCGTGAGGCGTCGGCGCCTCCGCGAGAGGGAGGAGATATGCACAAAAATTGCGGAGGCGACTGCGCAAAAACGTGATCGTTTCCTTTCTTGTAGCAGCCTCAGGGAAGAAAACCGAAGTATCAGGAAAAGAACCCGCAAGAGACGAAGCGAACTTGCAGAATTAAAGCAGGAGACTCAGGATCTGGACCGCGAAATTGGCGAGTTAGAGAGGCAGGGACAGGAACTGGACCAAGAGAGCGCGCATTTGGAACGAGAAATCTTCGTTGCTGAGTTGGCAGCCGAAGAAGAGGAACGCCTTGCACGCGAGGCCACGTCAGCGCGCGAGCAGCGGGAGCAGCGAAAACGTGAACAGGAGGAAGCACAAAGAGACCGCGAAGCAGCGGAGGCCCAACAGCGCGAAGAAGCAGAGCCAGCGGCAGCTCGGCAGCGGGCCGCCGATTCCGTTCCGGAGAGAGAAACTCCCCTGAGATGAATCAATTATCTTGAAGTAATATTCCCGCTGTCGCGAACGTACAAAGAAGGCAAGGCAAACAAATATGAGCTCCAATTGCTTCTACTTACCCTCTCGCCGCTAGCGATGTGGCGCGCAGGCCCCCAAGGTAGTTTTCACGTAGTAGAGCAAATAAGTCAGCAAAGGGCTCGTCTTGTCCCTGCTCTTTTCGAGATTTACAATCTACCGTAGCCACTCGCATCACAGAGGGTAATGTTGTGAGGAGACGCAGGAGCAGTGTCCAAACTAGTAGCTGCAAGGCGCAGCCTTGGCGCCCTGTGCCGGGGATCACAATCGTTGCATCAGATAGCATTTTGTGACAGGGAGCAGAAAATAGATAACGTGCTTCCACCTCCCGAAAAGGACGTGTTGCTATGCTCGTTCTTTGCGAGTCTTAAAGATCCGTGAAAATAACATTGTCTGTTTTTTCCGGCTACGATGGCACTTAGCTTGGAAAGTGAGTAGGATCCACCTAGCTCTCGTGCTTTGATAGTAGCACTTGCAGCAAGAGGTGCTCGCTATCATTGATGCTGATTGCCTCAGACTAACATCGAACAGATTTCGGATGTCATAGATGCGACCTTAGCAAATCGCAATCTTTTTTTCAAACGCAGGACGGTGGCTTAGATCGGAGTACATACAGACTTACAGTATTTTTTCCTGTTCCAGCAATCGACTTTTTCTTCTCCCAGCGAGGTCATTCTTCTACACAAAAATTTTATGGGACCTCCCACGTGTGCCGGATATTGATATATATGGACCATGTGGAACTCATTCCACGCCAGCATCCAGGACGCGGCCAATATCGTGGCTGCTAGTAAACTAGAATGCGTCGCCTGTCCCCCAACTTCCGGCCCGCAGGGCCGGGAGATTGATTCCTCCCTGACTTCGCAGTGAATTGAGCGTCAGGGGAGAGGAGTGTGCCGGCCAACCAGGATCTCGTCTCCATGACCCACTACAACTCGATAAGTAAGTATGTGTGGATTTCTAGTATTTCGCCGAGATCTAGAGGAAACTAACGGAAAAAAGCTGTCGATGTTTGCACAGAAAGGTAGTATGTAGGTACAGAAGCACCCTCGAAAATACAAGTAAAGTGTGAATTATGATCCCAATCGCCAGGCGGAACAAGACGCCTGCAATGAAATTATCGTGGTCTTCAGAATTCGACCCCGCGATCTCATTCGGATGGATTTTCTCTACACGATCGCCAACGAGGTTGAGTGGCAGCATCCCTCATCTTGTGGTCCAACATATTTTATACAAATAATCGCCAGTTGTTGTGTCCCGACACAAGAAAAAAACTCTGTCGATGAAGCACATTTCAGGTGGCGCTTGTCAGCCGAACCCGGGTCCTCTCGTCGTAGAATCATACATGATTCCTCTATTTTCAGTTGCAAAATACTCTGAAAGCTCTCCATCTCGCAATTTTCTCTGGTCCGTGGTGTGGAAGAAGTTGTATTTTGTAGGGTGTTAGATAGAATCATTTTTAAATCTCTTCTTTTGTAGAGTGTGAGTGTTGGACGCATTCACATAGACATAATTGAATTGGTCACAACGCAGCACCCTTTCGGTAGAATTTTCTCATCCAGCCACGAGAAGCAAATAGTTGGAAAATGAGTCGTGCCCGTCTATTGCTGCCGATTTTGATTGGAAGCTTTGTGGAGTCGCTTCGATGCATCGAGGCTGCTGCCTCCTCCCACGAGCGACCTGCGGCACACAGCAGAGATAAGCAGCTTCCCGACACAATGTCGCCGCAAAGCAGTGACTGCGAATCTATCTTGTGTAACAACCTCCCCACGCCCATCTCATAGCGAACGCATGACACTACTTATATTATTGCAAGCGGAGCCACAGTCGACTCATGCAGAAGCGCTGCCCCGTTTCATCAGGATTCGAAGAATTGTTCTCGAAGTCGTGCATGAAAAACGATTTTAGAGTGGATGGGGAGCAAGTAAGTAGCAAGTTGCCAACATGGCGGCCTCAGGAAGTCCTGATTAAATCAGGGAAATTTTTTCCTTCGAAGATCGCCAAGGCGAATGCGCATGACGATCTACTTCCGCTACACCTACATGCAAACTAAGCATGACACTTCCTGAGCATGACATGGCAGCCAGCCTGTGATGTGTCAGGCCATCTAGGACATGGCTTATAGAGACCGACAGGCAAAGTGTGATCCTGCCTGTATATTTTTGGCACGGGGGGTGTGCGGCGGGGACGTTTTTGCATTCCAGCAAATCTTCGGCACCTTCTTCGATCACGTCCCAGCGCTCGCGAAAGCGACACGGTATACAACAGAGTGGAAATAATCGGAGCGCCGCACGGGCACCCTCATCTTCCGATGAGTCAGAATCTTCAGCCTCATCGAGCGCCTCGTCCTACAAAAGTTCTGGCGAACGAAATCGCATGCGGATACAGCGAGCCAGACTCCTTCTCGAGAGAGAAAGACTCCTCGAGGAAGACCCCTCGAGAAAGACTCCTCGCGACGCAGCCCGCGACGAAAAAGACCGTCTTAGAATGTATGATACTGAGTTCTACTCACGTTGGAGTGAAATTTGTCTTGTAATTTGGTATGTGTCTGCTCAGTGCACGCCTTCGCGAGAGCAAGAAGATGGAATAAAAACTATATGCATATTAGACTACCCGTAGTAGCAGCGCGCTACGTTCAGTGTAAGTAGAAGTCGGGAGTAGTATTGCACCTCTGGCTAGATGTATGCGATACCAACCACATCCACGACTCCACAGCTCTTGTGAACAGTTGTAACCTCTAGAAGATCAGTGGGCACGATAATTAGTAGGAACCTTGCTCATGCTGGACCCTCAGGACAATTGTACGCTATTTCACTCCCTGGCTAGAAGTCACGTTTCCATACTCGGGATCAGTTTCAGAAAGACCGGGAGGAGAAAATGCGGCAACAGGAATTGCGGCACAAAAACGCCGATGACGCACTGCTATGCATTGTGATGCACTACGCAACATCTCGGTCTGCGCAACACAAATGTGACGCATTTGACTATGATCCACCCAGCAGCATATTGATGCCCTACTGCGCACCCAACAGCTTCTGTCCCACTACACACAGGTTAGTTCTTTTTATGATCTGGTGGCAAAAATTAAATCGTCGCGACCTTCAGGGACGACGTGTGTAAGTATGTAATCCGATCCGTACGCTGTGGAAGAGCGCAGAGTACCTAGTATGAGCAGACTCAAAGGCACTTCAATGAATGCATGTGATATTAAGTACAAAATATTTGCCTGATTTCGTTGGCCAAGATAGTGGATTTGCACTTGATGCACCCGCCAGGAAGCTGAAGAAGTGCGCCTGGACAGGGAAATCGATGAGGTCCGAAAGCTCAAGGAAAAGGAAATCGATGAGGTCCGAAAGCTTAAGGAAAAGCAAATCCGTCTGGAAATTGAACTCTCGCGCGCGAAGGAAGAGAAGGAAAACGGGCGCGCGGTTGTCGAGAGTAAAGCAGAGGCCAACCGTGTTGTGGCTGCGAAAGTAAAGGGACAGGGATTCGATTCGACTCACCTGCAACAACAGAACCTTCTTACAAGGGCGACACGGTGGATTACGCGCGCCCGGGGGCGGCGGCGTCAACAAGATAGTATTTGTGTCGGGTATTAGACGACTTATCTGTACTGTGTCCCCGGCACGGCCCTTGGAAAATTTTTCGCCTTTGGTCTTGTCGACGCCTGTGTGATACAAGTGCCCTGTATAGGTGTCGCCTCGTACGTACGCTCTTCGTCACCAGTTGATTAATAACATCAAAGATACATTATTTAACACCCGTGGATAATCTCACGATAGCGATCTAATACCCTTTGTAAGTTTTTGAGCCGACTACAGGAATGTGGCTCACCCGCGATCTACTTCTTCCGCCGTGGCATTCGCATTTCTTGCGCGCGAATACACACGGCACACAATTATCAGATTGCGCTTGCCTGTGGAAAATGAGAACAATTTTTTTGGTCTGGACGTGGACCGATGTCGCATTATCATTATGTCACCGTGGAGAATCATCAAAAAGCAAGCCTCTTAGGCGCGAATTGAGGGCGCAGTTGCATCTACTTCTGAAGCAGTACAATCCCCAAAAGATCTTTGCTGAAGCCCCTTTTTGATTCCGGGCGAATTGTAGGACCGCTGCCGCTCTTCATTTTGTCTCCCTGCTTCTGAGAGACTTGCGCGACGGACCTTGGCGGCATGTAGCACAAGAAGTGGAACGAATACAATGTCCTTCGGTAAATGTCATGGTTATGCTTTGATGCATGAATGCTCTACGTTAGAGATTTTCATTTGAGTACTTATTTCTAGTACAACTCTAGTCTTTAAGTTTCGCGCGAGACCACACCCGACACGAGGGTGCCATGATCTCAGACTCAGAAAAAGACCGATATGATCAAAAGGAGCTGAGACGTGAGCGCCGTTCCATCACCACGCGCTTTTGTTCAGACACGTCAAAGAGACCTATCTTAACGACGATCAATTTCGATCAGGAGCAAAAGGAGTACGCACGGCATTGATGAATATCATTTGTTATCTATTGACACTACAATGAGACTCCGGGGACGTTGTAGAAGAATAGGAGTCGTGAAGGGACAATTGAAGCAGGCTGCGAACCAAAAATATACTCAATCACCAAAGTAAAGGGAAGATCGATGCTCACAAAATTGATCTTTATAAGGCCCGCCATAGCGAAATGCATTTACCTCCCGAAGGGTGCTTTTATGACGTTTGCCTACCGGCAGCACTTAGGTGGAGGCTGTAAAACTAAAAGGCAGAAGCTCGCCCCTTTATCTAATGATGTACGTTGATGGTCAAGGTCATCATGGTATGTTCACATTTTTATTTTTCTCCAGTGATGTCGACGTCGAGGTCTAGTTTGACCTAACACCTACCAGAACAGAAGCAAGTCTGATAATCTCATCCCGAGTCGAGAGACGACTCTTCTACACAAAAACTATACATAACGTCGACTATTTCTCCGCGAAAGAGCCACGATACAAGTTGAACGGATATTACTTTAAAAATCTCTACGCCACGAAAATCTAAATCAAGAAAAGCAAACGAAAATGCAACTTCCGGCCGCCCTTTTGCTTTTGGCGCTCAAGATGAGTTTCCTCATCAGAGAGGCCATTGCCGCAACCTCCGCTTCCACGCCTCGCCGTGTAACCGGTTCTCTACTACACCGCCGTAAGCAAATGGAAGCTGCCTTAGATTGGGAGTAGGGATAGGTTGCAAAACCTGCATTATAAATATTTGTGTCGGAAGAAGGCATCCAATGTTTAGCTTATGTTGGCTCTCCAGACTAGACAAGAAATGGGCGCTAGAGGCAAGACGAGCATATGATGAAGTTTTGCAGTGCTATGAAGCCGCTCGAGGCTCACGACTTTGCGTCGTGTACTGCGCATTTATTTCATGCGATGGCGATAAGTAGAAGTCAATCGGCAGCATGAAACTTCTGCAACCTAGCATCCAATGACTCTCCGGACAGCTTTCACTTCGCAATGCGCCGGCCAATCGCAGTCCTCCTCCAGTATCGTGCGCCCGCATGCCAAAGGTGGCCACAAGTACGGTTGGCAGGCTGACCTGGCCGCAGGCAATCGCACCGTGGGAGAGATACTACGTGAATTGACAGATGTAAAGAAGACAGTACTTGCAAATTATCGAAGTCGAAGCGGCCCTCTTTCGAGACGAGTGCAGAACAAGTGCTATTCATTCATCGTATGTTGACTCATGCATGCAATTCCATCTTTTCCTGAAATATATCATGCTATTGGCTCCGGCCAGCGCCCGAAAAGAAAGTCTGCCTCCTGTGCGGAACGGAAACCAATTATGATATCTGCTCGAGACATAGAAGACTCCAATTGTACATGAGAAGACGTGGTGGCGATGCCTCCAGTCTGAAACCCTGTTGCTCTGTTCTGAGCTAGAAACTTGCAGTAGAAAAAGAAGCACTACATCCAACGCGTTGCATGAAGATGGTGATGGGAGCTACACATTTGCTGAGGCGGAAGGTTGGTTCGTCACAAAGAGCCCTTCGGTCGAAGATTGAGTATCAAGCATCTCGTCAAGAGGATTAGGAGGATTGTTTTCGACGGGATGAGATTCCAGACCGGTCAGAGGAAAAACTGCAACGTCACGCGGAGAAAAAACGCGCCGAATCAGACCGGAAACGGGCAGAGAAAAAATACCAAGCGGAGCTGGATCGAGCGAGTGCTGAGAGGACAGAAGCCGAGGTGCAGAGACGCACAGCGGAGATGGAACGCATCATGAAGGAGAAAGAAGATCGCTGGAAAGAGCGTTGCGAGCTCGAAAACGCAAGACCCGCATGGCGCGTTGCAGAGCTCGACGAAAAAGACAGCGACGCCATAAAGACACTGCACCAGCGGCAGCAGGAGCTCGCTGCTGAACCGGAACGAGATAGCAGGAGGAGTCGGCGCCACCGCGAAAGGGAGGAAGTACAAATGAAACTGCAGGAGGCGATCTCGCAAAAAAATGAAATCGCGCGGATTTGTAGCACCCTCGAAGCAGAAATACGAAATGTGCGGCAACAAACCGGCAACCCACGAGGCGAAACTGGTTCAGCCCTAACCCAAGAGTTTCAGGATCTGGACCGCGAAGATGGCGAGAAAACGAGGCTGGCGCAGCAACTGAAGCAAGAGAGCGCGCATGTGGAACGAGAGATGTCCGCTGCTGAGTTGACAGCCGAGGGAGAGGAACGCCCAGCACGCGAGGCCACCTTAGCGCGCGAGCTGCGCGAGCGGCGAAAACGTGAGCAGGAGGAAACGCAAAGAGATCGTATAGCAGCGGAGGCCCGACAGCGCAACGAATTTCAGACCGTGTTAGCAACGCCGCAGGTGGTCTCAATAGATCCACCGGTCAAGAGGTCAGTGTGTTGCAGAAGATCCAGCGGCCGCGGAAGGTGCAGCGGCCCGGCGCGGCACTCGGGATGGAGGAAATATTTCCCCAGGAGTCCGTTCTCCTGCTGCACACGGCGGTCATGCTTCGCGAAGGCCCGACAGCGCGAAGAGGCTACGGCAGCTCGGCAGCAGGCCGCAGAAGATGCAGCAAGCGCGAAGCCATTGTGTTGCAGAAGATGCAGCAGCCGCAGAAGATGCAGCGGCCCCGCGCGACACTCGGGATGGAGGACCTATTTCCCCAGGAGTCCGTTCTCCGGCAACGCATGGTGGCCATGGGCTGCCAAAAAATCTTGAATCTGGTGATGTTTTTTTGCAAAAGCTTGAATCTATGATGCCAACCGTCTGCATCTGACTTACATGTAAATACTAAATAAAAATATGTAACATATAATCTTAAAAATCGTGGACAATAGATGTTTTCCTCTAGAAGATGCAGCTATTTTGGTAAATTGCGTGAGTCCAAAGTTGTACCTCGGGACTTTCGCTTTCACACGTTGTGGAAAATAGCAGAGCCCGCGTTCGAGCTGATTTATATATTTTATGCTGCAAATCCCCCTGCTTCATGCACGGAGCAGCCCCGTGTCCTATCTTTTGACGGTGGCAGGTGCTATACTTTCTTGTTCGCTGAGCCATATAATTATTTTTCCCGAGACTGCGCTTCTGCAAGTTTTTTCCGTGTATGATGCTTCCGCAGTTTTTCTGATTAGATGAGAACTGTACCTTCCGCAGGAGGCCCCACGGCATCGCATATATAAATGTCAAGGCGGAGTTTTGCTCGACTCGCTTTTAGCATTAGCTTGCTTTTCCATATTGAAATTGATGACCTTGATACTCATAGATACTTCGTATTTCCTGCCTTACGCATAGCAGTATTGCCGAGGCGTATTGAAACCCACGACAGATGAAAAAAACCAGCTTTATGTTATTTCGATGCTATGTACCAAATATCGAACGCCTGAAGTCTCGAAAGTGGAAAATGAAAATAATACAAGCAAAATACATGCTGTAGATTCCATGCGTGGTGTCTTGCAATTTATTTGCAATATCTGCCATGTGACTATATGATGAAAATGAATTACGTGGAAAATCAGAATGAATCGCGAGTAGATCCATGAGACGGCTAAGAAAATACAAGCAGAAAGACTTGTTCTGCAAACAACTTTATAACCGAATACACCAGGGGACACGCTTCTCCTCTCTTCAGCCAAAATTCGCGGTTCGTTCTTGTTTGTTCTGCCGGCACAATGCCTAAACGCACAGACACACGGCGCCTTCTTGGATTTCCACAGGGTCGATCGACACAGTGGTAAAGTCCGTACGCTCTCGAGCACCCTCCCTGTCTTCGCGTCCCGTTATGAACAGCAGATTTCGGTCTCTGGCGCGCCCCGCACTTCGGATTGGACCGCATACATGCTGCATTTTGAGGCCATGCGTTAAACCCAGAGTCAAATGCCCACTGAAGCGTAAGTACCTTTCTGTCAAAGGATACACTCGATCCTCTCTCTTCGAGTTCGAGATGGGTCTGGTAGCACAAGAGAATTAGAAATGTAGCGAAACTTTTGATATTAACAATGAAAAAAAAAACATCTGCCGCCAAAAAACCGACTCGGAAAAGAACAGAAGACTTACACGCTCTTTGTATGTGTTGGCCGAAGGAAACGAGAAAAGCTCCTTGGCTCTGATCGTTTAGAAGAAGTCTCACCTTATCACAGCCGGAAACGCTCGAGGCGTCGTCGGCTACAAATCACCCTGGGACACGAACAGAGGCTGCGATCTTATTTCAACTTTTATCAGCACAGCGTGAAGTAGATCTTTTCGTGTCACACGTTGAATTAGATCATAAGTATCTATCATGCATGGTGATGACATCATGGTGATACCCTAACTCAGAGGAGAACACTTGAAGCAGATTGATCTATTTATTTTGGCTGTACGGCTAGCACTAGCTACTACCTCCGCGACTAGATGATCTAGATAGCTACTACCTGCGCGACTGGATGATCTAGTTTTTAGTTTGAGTACCGCGAGGCCGAGTGCGTTTGCGGCACGAGAAAGGAATTCTCCTGAGACTGATCATGAAGTAATAGTTCCGCTGCTGCCACCGTACAAAGAAGTAGTTTTCGCATAGTACAAAAGACAAGTCAGCAAAGGGCTCGTCTTATCCCTGCTCTTTTCAAGATCTCTATCGCATCACAGACGGTGATCTTGTGAGCAGACGCAGGAGCAGCGTCCAAACTAGTAACTGCAAAGCGTCGAAGCCTTGGCACCCTGTGCCAGGCATCGAAGTCGTTGTATTAGAAGGCATTCTGTGACAGGGAGCAGCAGATCGATAAAGGGTCTCCACCTCCCGAAAAAGCCATGTCGCTAAGCTCGTCCTTTCTGAGTCGTAAAGATCAGTGAAAATATCACTGTCTGTTTTTTCCGGCTGCGATAGCACTGAGCTTAGCTAGTGCGAAGGATCCTAATTCTCCTGCTAAGGAGTACCTGCAGCAAGACGTGCTTGCTATTATTGACCCTGATAACTTGAGACTCACATCGAGCAGATTTCGAATGTCTTCATAGATGCGACCTTAACAAATCGCAATCTTTTTTTCAAAGGCAGGACGCTGGCTTAGGTCGGAGTACATACATACTTACAGTATCTGGGAGCTGTAGAGTTTCCGATTTACTTATATATTTGGCGTTTAAGTAGTTGGATTTCTACTCTTGTTGATCGAGGTATTCACCTCCAGGAAGCTTAGGCATCAAAAAGTGCTCCCATTAGAAGTCGTCACTGTTGCTACTAGTGTAAGCGTTTACACAGTAGCTTTGTGACTTAGACTTCAGAAAACTCGCTTTTTGCTCTTGTATGTGCCAGGACCTCTCACACTATTTCGTGTATCTCTCTACTTTGCTCGTGAGCTTTGTATCCTTAGAGCTCAACAATTACATCCTGAAGCGCGATTCGCCAATTCCAAATTCGGGCTCGCACACACATTTGTGACAGAAAAACGCGGCTTGGAAAGTTGTCGTTTGCCCGAAGCCATTCATCTGGTGAAAATTGATTTCCATATCCATGTATTAATACCACGCATTTCGTATTTTCAATATCGGGGACCCACACGTCGTCTCTGCTCTACACGCGATATCGAATTGGGGTGAATTTTCGGGTTTTCATCTCTGTTTGCAGATATCTATCGCGGCTCCAGTTCATTCCACGGTCTATTCCTGCGCGTAATCTTCGGAAGAACGGTGGTGGCAGCAGCGATCATGTCGGTTGAAAACAGGAAGGCAAAAAAGGTGGGAACGGGCCACCGCATTCTCAAATCGGGTGTCCTGCAGTGGGGATGGGCGATCGCTCTCTTTGGATCGCCCAGCAGCGGCGCATTCACACCGCTGCTTGGAGTTTCCGCTTTCAAAACCTGGGTTCGCGTATGCTTTGTAAAATCACCCTCAGCATCAATTTGTAAATGCAGATTACTTATGGCATCACAAACACAATCGAACAGCCAGTGTTTCAGATTCGACCGTGCGCGCATTACAAGTTGAAACGAGGTCGATTTGACATTGGATACAAGGGTAGTGGTCAAAGGAGGTATGCCGAGTCAGCTAGCGGTGGACATGAATCTGTGAGGGCGGGGCGCACGTCAGTAGTGGAAGGTTCTGTTCCAGCATCTTCTTCCGGCGGGCGTGTGGCACAGGCAGATGAAGTGATCCGTTCCAACACAACTACTTCGCCCTACTATAATGCGGGGGACGCGGGCGTTGCACCTTTCAATCCCGGGGGTCGGGAGTACTACAGCAGTCGTGGTGAAACACCAAGCGCAATTACCGGCTCATGGCCTGTCGCAGCCGCCGCGGGGCCGGAGCAGTGGATGCAGCAACACGGACAGAAACCCACGAATGCACATCATTTTGCTGCTGCACCTAGTTCCGAGGACCCGGTTCTTGATAACAAGGGCCCGCTGTCTTTTGGAGCGAATGCGGTCGTTGAGAGAGATAGCAAAAAGGGGTCCGTGACGTTGACTGGTATTATGATGTACGACCCTGTGTGGCCCCTGAGTCGACAAGGGTTCCACGAATGGTTCGAATCTCTGGAGGGTTACCCGTCTGATTCGCCACTTCTCAATAGCGTCGGTCCCAACGGAAGGCCGAGTCCCGGCCGCGTGCGCCTGCGCGTCTGCTTCCCAGGTCACCCGGGTCCAAGAGAAACGAACGCCGTCGCGAGGTTGTACGACACGGTGACGACATTCATCTCGGGGGGGACCGCTGGTGCTTGCCAGCACTACACACTGCTATGAAACCAGGAAGAGCTCTTGCTACTTATCACTTCTAAAGGCATGCTGAGCATGACAGCGTCCGTTTCTCTTTGCATCCCTGCGGCAATCGTTTGTGCCTGAGATGTAAGCTTTTTGTTATGAAAGATGAAGCGCCATACTACTTCTAAAATTTGTTGTACAAATATGTTATGCGACCACAAGAAGTGAACAGGCTTGACTTCTTGTCACACAACGGCGATGTTGATAGAAAGACTCTTCATTTTCATAATCGCGGGCCCGGGACTATAAAAATCTGAAAGTGCGGCAGGCGTCTGGCTTTGGCACCAACGGTGTGAAGGATATCGCGTTGCTATACCCCTTGCAAATAATCTGGCATGCTCACGAAAAATGCACATTTATTTTACCTGTGATACAGCATGCGAGTGCTCCAGTCGCAAGAAAGTGTCATGCTGGCCCAAGCATCCGCGGAAGCGGTTGTCATTGGTTTGGCAGTACTTCATCTTGCACAGACTGTTCTGCGTTTTTCTGGGCGTAATGAGTTTTTTCCAATGCATACAATATTGAAAGTCCGCATTTCCGGCCTCGAACCCGACGTCCGGTACACGTATTCATGGTCGGTGAATCCAGCTCACGGGTCCGAGAGTAACGAGACGGTAGTACAAATTGTCTCATTTTACTTTTTGCTGTTTGAAAAGAGAAAGCGATTGGGAAAATTTACAAAATCACGGAAATTGACGCACGATCTGATTTTGACCGAAAAGCAGTACAGTAACAGTGACGTCTGATAAATTTGACCGATGCAGCTGGTGATGAAGCAATGTGTATTTGATGCGCTAAGTAGCATGATGATAACGCAAACACCCAGCTGTTTCACGTAGATGGAGTTGGAGCCACTTCAGGAGCGATAAAGCCAACATAAAGAATTGTTAGTGCTATTTGTGCAGTGAACTTCAGGAAAAACAAAATAGTTGCTGTTGGTAGATTGCTTCGAGAGTCGCCAGGCTCGACCACATTCATAGTGGAATAATATCATTCGGATTTTCTACCAAAGCCCTTGACGAAACTTCAGGTCGAAGAGCATTTGACACGGGGGCTGCGCTCCTTTGCTGTGAAGCGTGATTCGAAGAACAGGTCTTTGAAATTGAAAAAAAACTACCAGTCGGAATCCATCGTCCACGCAGGTTTGATGCAGCCAGCAGGCGGCTGGCAGTCGGGTCTAGCAAAGTTGTTCCTGCCGCCCGCGGATGAAGCGTCATCGCTTCGGAGTACAGTTTCATCGTCCTCCGCGACGGAGATGTACTACAAAGACCTGTCTTCGACCATTGCCGCAGCGCATACTTTTGTCGGGGACCGGAGATCTCAGGATATCTCCTACGCCGACGAAGACGACGACGAAGACGACGACGAAGACGACGACGAAGACGACGACGAAGACGAAGACGAAGAAGTCGTTGAGGAGACCGAGGCGGTCAGACAAATCTGGAAGCACAGTGGCGGAACCTTCGCAGTGCGGCTTCGAAACCTTTTGGTTCTGGAGAAAGACTGCCTGCTGCGCTTTCAGAATTCGAACGACGTTGATGGGCACTTCGGCAAGGCGGCGAGGAAGACACATCTCTTGAACGAAGACGAGACGCAGCAGCAAGGCAATTTCGGATACCTTCGGGCACTGGTTCTGTGGCAGACGCTGGAGTCTTTTCTAAATCCGCTCGAGGCGTTCGGCTCAAACTTTCTGCCGGAATCCGTCGGAGTTTTCAGCGGCAACGAGGAAGGAATTGGACGAGCCTCCCTGAAACTGAATGAAGAAACTCTATTGTTTCAGATCAGAAAGGGAGGGCACTTCCGATTGCACTTCGATGACTCGCGCTCAGCCGCGATTTGCTCTCTTGCAGACTTCGAGTCATTCTGCATCAATAACCTGTGGGACGTAGCACCGGACTCCGCCGCTGGGGAAAGCGACCTCTTGGGCCTGCCATCGCGCAGCGGGGACCGGCTTACTTCTATCCTGCGGCCTGCCTACACAACCCCAACCGACAGCTGGAAGGAGGTACAGGAGGTCAGAAAAAGAATGCTGTCTATTCCAGATACCCACAAAACGTTTTGGAAAAGCCGCGCCGGTGTGGTTCTCTCAACTGGGAGCGAGGGAGAGGATTCGCGCGTCCTGTTGGACCCGTTCGCCCCGCACTTGCGGGACGAGCCCCACGAGCGAAACGATTTTGAGAAGCTCTGCAACGCAATTGAGAGTTTGTGTGGCTTGCTGCGCGGGGACCTGATTCAACCGCAGGTGAGTTTCCACCGGAGGGCGCGCGAGTTCCTGTTGCTCGAAGCGAAGAAACACATCAAACAGCTGTCACCTGGTGTTACAGGAGCCGAAACTGCGGCGGGGCGGCAAGATTTGCTGGGCACTCGACCGCGCGATGAAGATGTTGGGCAGGAGGATCAGGAGCAAAACGCGGGGACCGTCGTCACAAACGCTTGGGGTATGGGCCTATTCATAGCATACGTTGACGTAGGTCGGCTACTTGACTATCTGCCCGCTATTTCGCAAGATGTGGACGCACAGCTGGGAGAAAACGATCTGACATTTCCGGTGCAACGTAGCGGCGCAGCTATGTCGGTTTTTTTGCAGCACCTGACGACCAGGCTGGTGCTGATGAAAGTAGGAGCAGAGGAGTGGTATAGAGACGTGCCGAACCTCCTTCGCGGAGTGGTTCGGAAGTTGCAGCTCCTGCGGCGACACCGCGAGTCCCTCGTCGCCGGCCACGACCACGACGCGCACCCGTTTTACCACTTGGCAGACAGCCGGCTGAGCCACAGCCTTCTGGAGTTTTTCACCGCTGGCGTCTTTCGCGATCTCTATGCGGATGAAGAAGTACGAACCGGCGCAGCCTTGGTTCAGTACGCGCTTGCTCCCCCTGATGGCGATAGTGCTGATTCATCTAGCACAGCAATTTCGCAGCGTGACGTGGACCTTCTGCGGGACGCTATATCATACCTTACTGAAGCTGAGGCCTTGCATCAGCAGGAACAGGTCGCACTCAGAAGTAGGACGAATCCGTATGACTCTGCGCCGCCCTTGCCGGAGGTAGAAGAAGCGGCTCCGGCACGCGACCCCGGTTTTGCCGCTTTGTTTCGCGGCGCATGGCAGCGCCTGCTGGATCGGTATCTTGGTGTCTGGGCGCCGCCAGCGGCCTTTGAGCGCGACAATGAAGCCGAAGCTACTTTTGCGGCAGCGAGGCACCGGCTGCAGTACTTGGCAGAGCACGAGGTATTTGGGGCTGCGACTGGAACGGACCGCATTACTGTTACTGGTGGACGATCCGGAGAAGCTCCGACGCTGCCGCCCCATGCAGCCCATTGGACCAGCGTGGAGCTCAAGAAGGTTTGCGACTACCTGGGCAGCGCCGTCTTTTCCGATGAGCTGGACCAGTTCGGACGCTCTTATGATGCGCCTTCGGAGAACCTTCGTACAGCTGACCGAATGCAAGTCGACGAGGGGTCGCGCGATCCTGCATTCGGCGACGGGCAAGACGCAGAGAACCAGCTGCGTGTACTTGTTGGTGCCGTTGCTGCCGCAAAGCGCTACTGGGAGGACATCGGAAAACCAGCATCATTCTCCACCATCACAAAAATCTGCGCCCATGAAGGGCATCAAGGCGAGGAAAACTTCTTGCGCAAGAACGTTTGGCATGCAAGATCCGCTGCAGCGAGGCGAATAGTAGAAAATCATCTGTACGCGCCGGATCTTTCCTACTGGGCGAACTCTCAAGATGTCGAAGGCGAAGGGCGCAAGGAAAACGAGTTCGACGAGGCCGCCGCAACGCAAGCGGCTCTCGCCGAGGTTCGCGGTATGACCGCAGCCAATAGCCTGCGCGACAAACTTTTGGGCTTCGCCCCCGAAGGTTCGAGCGAGTATCATCTGCAAACAAGCGAAAGTGGGAGCTCTATCTCAGAAGTGCTGCAGTCGCTTCTTGGTATTCCTTTGCTCGCGCCAGCCGCTGTTGAGCCGGACAGGCTGAGAGAGGTGGAGAAAGCGTTCAAGCAGAACTGGTACCCGCTGCGTCACCGCATCCTCGAGTGGCGCACTATTGCGGCGAGAATCCGCGTCCAGCAGCAACCCGACGAACGCTCTGACCTGCGCGCGCACCCGCATATCAACGCTCCCGCGTTCCACGAAGATGTTCTCGCTACAGCCCTGGAGTCCCTCGCGGGGTTTTTGGCCGTGGTCAAGAACGGAGAAAAGCTGCACGCTCTTGAGGAGGTAGTACACCGGGATCGGCAAGACATTTCGAACTTTTTCAGCCGTCTGGGGGGCCGAGACGCAACTGAATCTCTTCACGTGGGCCACATCGATTTACTGGCTGCGACGACTCCGGTTGCAGCGCATCGGGGGGTAGGCGCACACGGTTTTGGTGGCGGGCGGTTTGTTCTCGCAGCGGAACGCGGTCCGGCCGAGCAGCAGCAGCAAGCGGTGGAGAGAATTGGGACAAGAAGCGTAGTGCCGCTCGCCACGCGGAAACTATTTCGCAGGCACCTGTCGCTTTTTCTTCATTTTCGTGGAAACGAAAATGATGTTGACAATCCTCAAGAAGACGGAGATGAAGGTGCGTCCAGACTAGATTGGAAGATCATCAGGAAAGAGCTCCACGATGAGTCCACGACTACGCCTGCCATGCTTGAAAAATCGCTTCGCGATTCGCCGCTTGTGCAGTTCGTCGACGAACTGGTGCTGGTGCGCCACCATCTAGAAGAAGCGCGCCACAAGCTTCTGCCGGAAATTGAAGGCTTTGTATCGCGCACCAGAGACCACATACAAAGGGCGGCGGGATGCGAGCTTGTGCACAGCGCGCCACTTGCCCTCCCGCGGCGCCAGTCACGACCCGGCTCCTCAGAAGCGCCCGAAAGCGCAGACGACATGCAAGTCGAAACCGAACTGGAGGAAGCGAGCAGCCCCCACCACTCTGGCGAAGATAGCGCCACCAACTTGCTCGCTGAGTTCGAGAACAGACTGACAATCGCAGACCACTATCAATTCATATACTCTGACCGTGATGGCGTGCAGCCGGGCATGATCAACAGCTCCAAGAAGAACATGGATCTGTTTGATCAAAGTGAAGAGGATGATAAGTGGATGCGGGAACAAGCAGGTGCCGGCGAGGGCGACCGGAAGCCCGCCAATTGGAAGCTGCTGGCGCGTCTGTTGCAACAAATGCCAACGTCCCTATCAGTGCTAAAGGTGTTTGAGAAGGCGATCACTGGCTCGAAGTTGATCGAGTGGCTTCTGAAGGACACAAACAAGGCCCTGGCGCTGAACGAATCAGAGGTACGGAAAATGGTGGAAGTGGCGTTGGATGGCGAAGAGAGCTCTTTCGCCGTGCAGAAGATCGACACATTCGCGACACTGTTCGTGGAGCTGAAGCCGCTCGTGGAATTTTTCCGGGAAAACAAACAGGAGACGCGAAGTGGGGAAAGCGAGCCGCAGGACGTAAATAGGGTGTCCGTATCGCAGTTGTTTTAAATTCTTCCGTTCGAGAGAGAGGACGCGCGACTGGTCCAGAAGATTGAGGAGGGTCTTCAAAACGAAGCCTGGTTCCGAAATTTGGTGGACAACAGGCAGAAGGACGAGAAGCTGAAAACCTCAGATCAGGTCGTGAACCTGCTGGCGTACGCTAAGAAAAAGAGCCTCACCTCCTACACCCAAAGGAAAGCGGCCGCGGACCCCAAAGGAAAGCGGCCGCGGACCCCCGGACACGAGCATGTGCATGAAGTGCGTCAGCACTGTGTGGATGAATATTATGATGTTGATTTTTTCTATACATCAAAGCGAGAGATACAACTAGAAATAACGCAACAGAAGTAAACCCACTGAGTGTTATGGAGGGGGCATCTTTTCATTATGATATGCACAGCGGACAGTTCACTCTAACTTGCACGACGCGACCGCGACAGCAGGAACAATCGGCTGAAGAACAAACGCACAGCTCGTCCTCCGCCACTGCAGTGCAGGCCAGGCCTTCGCCAGCGAGAGCTTCCGACAATTCGGAGAACAAGGACGAAGACGATTGCTACCTTCCGTCGGCCTTCCTTCCGCGGATGACAGCTCTCAAGGGCTCACATACTGACGAAGCCAAGACCCAGCCTGCGCGCAAGTATGCGGCTGCCGACTTGCGGAGCTTGTGGGAGAAGGTGCAGCTCGTCGCCAGCACAAACGACAAGCAGGAGCAACTGCGCGACTTCAATACGCTCTTTGAGGAACTGATCGCGCTTGGTGATCAATTGCGCCGGCTGCGCTACGAGTTTCAAATTCCTCTTTTTTACGACGTGGTCGTACGGGTAAGCCCTGTCAAATTATCAACGAACTATTTAGTACAGTTGCATTTTCGGCAGCTAGTTACTGCACACGGCTCAGGGGCTGGAGGAAGAGGCAGCGCAGGAGGAGACGAGCAACTCGAGAGCGAGGCGACTGTATACTTCGGTGCCAAATCCCGGGAGGACCTCCTGCCACTCCTGCGAACAATCAAGCGCAATTTGCGAACTCAAGTGGAGTATCTGTGGCAGGACGAGTTTACGTCAGCGCGCTCCAAGTTTCCGGAGTTCTTCAACCGATTCACTACCCTGCAGCTCCTTGACCTTGGGCGGCTGATCCCCGAAATCGGAAAAGATCCGCTGGCACGACGGCGGGTGGCCTGGCTGCTCGAGTGCGAAGACGAAAGTATTTCCGGCTTCCGTCCTATCTACAGAAAAAGCACACCCATACCAGAATGAAAAAACTAGATTTGTGCATTTGCTATTTTTCTGGCATGCTGGCGATAGGACCCCGTGGGCAGAGATATCAACAACTCACGCGCCGCGCCCATTCTGGCTAGGAAGTATCTTCGCTTCGTTTTCTTTTATTGCACCCAAAAAGACAGGCTAAGGATCTCACTCTCTCGCAGTTCGCTCCGGCTACAGTGATCTACGTTAAACTTCTATTTTGATTTTGCAACACAATAAGGGGGGAAACCTGTCATGCAAAATGGCGACTGTAATGCCTATGCGGAGAGGAGGTATGTACGAAAAGAATTAGGCCTCTGCGGTTCACCCAGGATACTAGTAGTCGCACAAAGGATAGTAGTCCCGCTTCTTGCATCAGTCCCTTGCTCGTAGTGACTGTCCTGAACCAGGCGACCATGACCCCAACTTCGCTCAGCTGCGGAGGCGGTACTAGTTTCGCAGTGGCTCCTTGACCGGTTTCACCCCGGCTTCTAATGGGTTTTAGCATTACTAGCTTGGGACCTGGTATTAAGAGTGTTGCTGCAGCACAGACCATAGCCGGTTTTCGAAAATCTGCACTAACAATTTTTTTCAAGTAACATCGTGATATGGGTGTGCTTTTCCGTAGGATCCGTCCTGAAAACCATGGCGACCTTGATCCGGCACATGAGGAGATATTGGAAGATGCTGAGACCGACGAACACGAAGGGAATCCTCCTACTGTGAAGAAGATCCTGGATGCGCCACCCTATTTGTTGAAGGCCAGTGACTTCTCCGGTCTCGACTGCGACGGCGAAGAAACCGACTCCGACGAGGGCACAGCACTTGTCTCTCTTGGCGGCGATAACTATTTGACAGGCCAGGTCGAAATGGTGCTAGGCGCACTCGCAAAGCGGATTGCAAAACTTTGGAGAAGAAAGATGAAATTTTCGGTCACAACGTCTGCTGCATTGTCTTCGTCAGAAAGCGGAGGCCTTGCACACACACGTGAAGGTGCTCCGGAGGTCGCCAACGATAGTGTAGCCACTGCCCTCATTGATTTTGATGGAACCAAGAGGACGACTGATGTCCAGAGCGGCGGCTTGTCCGTCGAGCGGCTGCCAGCTGTCTTGAGTGCCCTGCTGCGGCATGCGGAACAAGAAGCGTCTGCTGCGCGATTCGTTAGCGAGGCCAGCAAGTCGCAGGCTTTAATTCCAGTTGCATACGACTATGATGACGTCCGCGATGTTGAAGAATTTGACGCGGCCGCCCTGCTGAGAGCGGACGGCAGTGCGGCCCTGCCTAGTGGCGGCTCCGAGGAAAATCACCGGCAGCACAAGTTTTGGGTCCGGGTCGTGTTTGGGGATGAGCCACTGGAATTCGTTACGTCTCTCGCGCATCAGGCCAAACTGCGGCGTTTGGGGCCCGAAAGCGTCTTCTTCTGCTCGCCAAGCACGACGGCTGCCGAACTGGAGCTTTTTCTGCGCCGAGCGTTTCGATCGCCCAAAACTGTTGAGCGCTCGAAACATGATCCGACAGCGCTATTCTTCCTGCTGAATGTCGAACGGCTCTCCTATGAAGTGGCTGTTTCTACCACAAAAACTTACTTGAGCCTGCGGCGCACGCTCTATCTCGGAGTCACAGAGCCGGCTCGAGACGGGGGAGGTCCCTCTTCCCCGCAACACTACGAGGACGAGACTTCGACGACGGCTAGCGAAAGAGGTAACTTTGCTGCAGCGGATGACGCCATAATGAAAATCGAGGAAATGAAAACCCTTCTGGTAATCCATTCGCACCCAAGCGGACGCAAACGAAGCAATTTGTTGGCTCACTTTGAGGACCGCGTCCTGGAGAACGCCCGAGAGGAACTGGAACAAAAAGTCCCAGCTAATCCACTAGATTGGGAATCGTTCGAAGCCCCACGAGCGGGGGATGACCGCGCCGCTCGTGCAGTTTTCAGTGAAGATGCCGGTGGCGGCAAATCCTGGATGGTTGAGAGGCTGTATCACACCGTATTTAGCTAGCAGTACCGTTTTTGCATATCGTTGTGGTAGAACGAAACAATCTGTCATGAGCAAATCCATCAAATTGTGTCTAGTCGCATTCACTTGCATGAGAGAGGACGTCCACTCGGTTGCAACCAGCGGGACAACGCAATATCACTGCGACAAGGAGACTCTGCATTCACATTGAGAGCGCTGCCATTCCGTAGTTCTGTACACCGTCAAGCACAACGAGCTACTTGAGCTTCTATATTTTCTTCTTTCTGCATTGCGGTGGGGCTCTGTGTTGCATTACTTTTTTACATAAAAGTCATCGTTTTGCATTACAACTCTGCTAGCTTGTTCTTGTGATATTCTTCAGCTCGCCGACGAGCAAACCTTGAGAGATCGTGGGCTTCAGCCCCGACCACTACGAATAAACATTCCGGTTTATTCCCCACCCAGCGAAGACAGCCTTTGTGCTCGCATTCTGGACGAGGTTTCGGCGTATCTCCATGCAGGAATGATACTATCGAAAGTGCCATCGGAGCCCGTGCTAGTAATCAAAAAGAATCTTATTTTTTGAGAATGTATGTTGTCTGAGGTTTTGATTAGCCGAGTACATCTGAACCATTTGTCGCAGCTCGCTCGTCGTGCAATACCTCAAAGGCCCTTTATGCGTGACCCTGAGAAAAATAAAAATTTACTCGCAAAATGATTTGAAATATTAAGATGCCTCTCTTTTTGATTCCTTGTGCCAGCAGTGCAATTTTCGGTTTGATAGGGAAACAAAGACCACCCTGGCGACAGCAAGAAGCAGGGGGCAACGGCCACCGATTCCATGGAACATAACAACTTTTATGTGTCCTTGCACCTAGATATCGGTGCCGGCGTGCCCATGCGCCACACTCTCCTCAATGAGCTGCTATTCAAGCTGGTCGTGTTACGTCGGTGGGTCGACGCCCGCGACCGCGTCTGGCGCTTCAGCGACCGGGACCGCCTTTTTGTGGAGTCGAGCAATCGATGGGTGGTGGGCGACCGCTTGTCGTTCGCGCGACACCTGCAAGTCTTTAATGTGCCATCGCCGCAAGCTTTACTGAATCGCTCCGCTGTCCTCCCGCAAAGCAATTTACCGCTCGATGAAAATGCGAGGATTCAAGAACGCATGATGCGCTGGCAGCTCGAAGCAGTTCGGGGCGAAGCGAAGGCCGATGTTCTGCTCCTGGGTGTTGGCAATATAGAGGAACACCAGGATCGCCCGCAAATAGAAACTGCAACGAACAAAATCTGGCGGGATGCAGCCTGGTTCGCAGCGCGTCTTCCCGATCGAAGCCAGGACAGAATACGCAGCGCAAATGTGTTAGAGTCGGTGAACAAGGCTGAGGTGCGGAATACTTCGCTAAATCGAAGCAACAGGTCATGATGTCTGCAGAGCAGGCTATTCGCGTTTTGATGTTGTAATTTTTTTTCCGTACCGGATCATTGCAACGAAGCGGGAGCGGGATTGAAAAATGTATTAAATAGGTAGATTATGATTGCATGATTGCCGACCCATATTTTTAGTCTTGGAGAACAACATGGGCACTCATCCTACTTTGTATAGTTCAAGAAGAAGGCACTTGCGCACTGTATGTGAAGCGTTGTGTATAACGTCGAGAAGTAGTAGTAGTTTGCAAGCTAAAATAGCCTCAGTGATCATCTTGCTCGTCAAACATTTGCTATTTGAGTGGATAAAACGACGATCTCTGGGACCTTTGGAAGCCAAAATCCCATTTCTCACGGCCGCGTGGGTGGGCGCCATGCGAGAAACAAGAAAACGAAATCCCTGGTGAGATGTTGAGCGACCGCAACGTACTTGGAAGGCTTATTGCCTTGAGCGAGCAAGAAAATCCGACATGGACGGTGCTTGTTTCGTTCGTGAAGCTCATTGCGTATCTCGACGAGCTTTTGCATTTCGCTCTGGACGAAAAGATCACGCTTTGGACATTAATGGAACAAAACGAAGGGCTGCAGGGCAGCAACCACTCGACCATGGCGCATTCGTTTAAGCACTTCGCGATGGAAAGAGCAAGGTTGGCCGCGATCGATTTTGCCACTCCCAGCCGCGAAATTGTTGAAACGTTCGAAGGGACGGGTGCCGCCTCCAGCGGAGTACCTGCCGCCAGTCGAAACCGCCGCGGATGGGAGGAGCGCGCGCACCCGTACCTGATCCCTACGAGGAACCAGGTTCTGAAGCACTTCGGATTCCACTTCCGTGACGGGAGAATTGTCATTGCCAAAAACAAGCCGCTCCGTGGACAGCCCCAGGAGTGGGAGGAGGAGAAATTGAAGGGTAAACACGGTTCAATTGATCCTGGGGTACTGAGGTGGATTAACGAACAGTATTCCAGATTGAATTCCAACCCGGATTCAGGCTCGACGAGAACACAGGCTCCGGATGCTTCGGATCAAATGAAAAAATGGTGTAAGGACAATGCGCAGCTACTGCTGGACAACTTTTCTGCACTTTTTGCGCAACTCAATATTCAAGATGTCCGACCTGCCACTGAATTTTTGCTTCGGTGGAAGACCAATCCTGCGGAACTTACTTCGGACCAACAAGCGGTAGCAACCGCACTTGGCGCGGACATCGAACGTGCCGTCTCAAACGGCACCATGACTCCTGATCCAAGCCAAACCGACTTCGACATTAAACCTGGGGCGCCGGGCACCTTCCTGGGACCCCACATCGACAACGCCTCGCGCGACCAGCTGCTGGAGCATCTACGAGATGTATTGTGGGACTACGCAAATGGCGTTCCAGAAAGCCTGTCAGACCCTGATCCAGCTTTTGTTTTGACGCGCGACGTTTTACAAAAAATTCTCGCTATTCACATGCGCTTCTCAGCCGGGCTCCCCGTCTTCATATCCGGTGAAACCGGAATTGGGAAGACTGCATTGCTAGAGTACTACGCCAAAGTCAGACAGCAACTCCAGTTGCATGCGCCAAACCAGGAGCGTCGCACGCACATGGATGGCCAGGGTAGTCCACTCAAATTAATGCGGACTGTGAAAGTGCATGGTGGCGTCGGTCGTGCAGCACTGAATAGCTACGTGAAGGAAGCACTGCAACTTGCAAGATTTAATGCAAGAAAGGGGGTGCGGGAGACACTACTGTTCTTTGACGAAGCAAACACGTCGTTGGAAGTCGTGTGGGGGGTGAAAGAATTGATGACCAATGGTCGACTTCATGGTCGTGACCTGCGCAGCGAGTTGGAAGGCACGGAAAGAAATTTCGAAACAGGCGAGCAGTTCCCGTTCCGCCTGCTTCTCGCAATGGCCTGCAACCCGTACCGAGTGCAGCCACTCGCCGTTCGAAGGCAAATGCACCGCGCTGGACTTGGCTACCGGCACGCAGCCGAAGAGGTGGAGAGCAACGACTCGCCACAAGACGATCCTGCAGCCCGCGTTCGTCCTATGCGGGACCTAGTGTACCGTGTGGTGAGGACGCCCCCTTCACTATCCCGAGTAAAAACGTCCCCACCCAGCAGGATTCTGTGTGCTTTATTTACTGTGGTTTTTTCCAGCACAGAAACAGTCCAGAGTCAAATGAGGAATTTTGCTGCACAAACCATCACGTCTTGGCTGTTCCGCATGACAACTTAAAGTTTGGGCTTCCAAAAGCATAATCGCGCTCAGCGTACTAGTAAAGCTGCCCCACCAAGTGGCCATCTTATCCTGATTGCGGCATGACACCTGGCACTGCCAGACCGTATTTCGAAAAGCTCCTCGCGTCGCTACGCATGCGAAACATTTGAGTATTGTACGTAGATTTGCAGGCCAAGCCTGGGGTGGGGACGTTGTTACGCAGAATAATCCTTGAGAGACAGCATATTCGAGTTTGGTTCTCTCCCTGAAGACGCCGAAGCGGATTACGCCCGCCAAATCATCCTGCGACGTATCCAATCTATGCTGCTCGATGGACGACTTCGACCTGCTCCGAAACCCTCTCTGAGCCGCGCGCAGCGAGACACAGTCAGCGAAGGTAGTGGTGGTGATTCGGAGACCGCGCAAGTGGTGCTGGATCAGGAACAGGTCTGGCGTGATATGGTGCTGGAAATTCAGAAGTTAAGAAAAGATTCTGAGAAAGGAGAGAACAAGATCCGTGACATCGAGCGCGATGTTTTTTTATCGGTAGAGGACTCCGCTGCACCCCCTTCCGGCACGGTGGCGGCCGTCGCAGAGTCAGGACCAGCGGGACCCGTTGCTGCTGCCGCGTCTGAAGGACACGAAACAGCAATCGCTGCTTCATCCCAACCCCCTGAGGACAAAGAGCGTCTTCTGAAAGGCGCCCTTGCTCGTGCATTTCGGTACTTTCGCGATGAAAGTTATTATGTGAAAAAAGTTATGAACCATGCGCATGCCGCAAGGCCGGGCGTCGGGGGCGCCAATCACGGCACTGCTGCTTCCCAGGCCGAGCACACCAACGAGCAGGAGCCAACTCCACCCGTTGTTACCGATGCCGGCACTAACGATGCAGGGCAAGCAGAGCCAGCACCCGCGCTTCCGGTCCAGCATAATAGCGACGAACAGGAGGCCGCTGACATATGCATTGCAAATATGTCTGAACCCAAAAACCTATGACTGATGCTCCATTACGGATGGTTGCAGCGCTTGCAACGGCAGCCGAACATGACAAGCTTTTCGAACGCTTTGTGATGCCTGGCACGCATTGCAAATTGCGCTTTTGTATGAAAAAGGAGGTTTTGCTTTCGCTGCTCCGGCAGCGCTGGTTTTTCCGCCCTTTGAGATGAAACACGCATTACTACTTTCAGTTTTCGTTTTCCAGACCCAGACGTATTTGCATTCGATAGGGCAGTGACAACAGCAGTTTCCGGTTAATCCCGGTTGCTCTGCGGCAAAGTTTGTCGGAAATGTTCCACTGCTTTCGGAATGATTTCAAAATATTCGAGGACTACGTCGCTGCAGAGGTCGAGAAGCATGGCCGACCCGCACTCCACGAGCAGTTGCAATTCAGGGAACCACATGCAGCCGCCGCAGGCCAGAATTTGGGCGATGGGACAGGAGATGCTGGCACACCCGGTTTACAGCAGCGGGAAACCAGGACTGTTCCTACCGGCGTCATTAATATTCCGTACGCTGAGCTGCTGGAGAACAAAGCCTTGTGTTTTTACTGGCGCGAGGGTTACGCCAACAACAGAAGCTCAGCGGCTCTGCTGCGTCGCATTCTCTACACGTTTACCGTCGAACAGGTAACAACCCACAGGATCCTGAGCCAAATATTGAACGTTCATCAATTCATCCGTGGGAAGGATCCCAATCCCGAGGGCGGGAACCGAACGGTGCTCAGAGCGGTTAGCCTGCGTGATGTGGAGCGTTTCATGGATCTCACTGGCTTTTTCGCGGAGCGACTGCAGTCCCCGACCTCGTACTTGAGGCAGAAGTACTTCGAAAATATCCACCACCGCTTGATGGAGGATTTTTCGGAAGATGCCTGGGAATCGCAGTCGGACGTGTATCTCGCCGAATACCCCCCCTCCACCGGCCGCCTGAGATTCTCTACCCTGGCGGAAGCGAAGAGAGAAGCAGCTCGCGTGCCAGATTGTGGAGGGATCACACAGAGGTGGCCGCACAATGAGTTCGAGCTCCGTATCAACTTCAAATATGTCTGATTCTGGAAAAGGGAAAACACAGAAGTTTGTCATGCATAGCGATGGCACACAGGATCTGGAGTAAGTATGCGCATGAAACCAAATTTCACAACTCTTGCGAGGGAAGCTTTATTGCAATGCTTATTGTGCGTAAGAAATCCTCTCTCGAGGTGCGCAGAAACAGTTTTTGCTACTCGTGCAAGACGGATCTTTGTAATTGTATGACTGTCAGAGGGCGTAGAAACATCAATCAAAAATGTTATGGAGCACGACGAGGCTGCACCTTTCCCGACGCAGACATATCTGCAGTGGATACCTCGGGCGGGGACAGAATTTAAGGTTTCACCTGTCGGAGAAAGGAGTTGGAAGAAACCTTCTCAACAACACGGTGCAGACACTGCTCAACCTGGAGACGCAATGGAAGTCGACGACGAGGGACAAGGAGCACGGGTCCGCGACGTTGGCGGTGCCGCGGGACCTTCAGAAGTACCTGCTGCCAAGGGGGTTGCCGCGATTCAGTTGCGAGTTAGCGACCTCGCCTATGCCAAGGCAAATCAGTTGATCAGCGACGCTGTTCCCTTGGGCTTGCACTTCGCGTATTTCCTGAGCCTTCCCGTCCGTAAGCGAATTCAGTTTCTGGCCGAAAACAGCATATTCGTTCCCGGCGAATTGGAGTAGTTCGAGCGCGCTACGGCTGCTCTCAAGGAAGTTTTCAGAGCAGATCTGGCTGACTACCTCGCAGAACGGCGCCTGGCGCCAAACGAAGCGCTCTTGGAGAACGTAATGCTGTTGGCCGTGTGTGCGCAGTTGCGCATCCCGGTGTTCATCGTGGGAAAGCCCGGCAGCTCGAAATCGTTGGGCAAGGCTATCGTGCAAGATGTTATGACGGGAAGCTCTTCGCCTGTCCCGCTCTTTCAGCGAGATGAGGACTTCGGTCGGTTACGCGCGCAACAAATGTGGCTTTGGGATGGATGGTGTCAAATGATTGATTATTTGAAGCACCATAAAGAATTACGTTTGGGCATGATGCGATACTACATAACAGAGCATGGTGGAACTACATTTGGCAACATGACGATTCTCTTCTCAAGAACGAGAAACAAAATTAACACAAGGCTTGGAATGAAGGTTGTGAGTTCACACGCAGTTTTTCTTTAAGGAGAACCCACAGATTGCCCATCCGTGCGAGGAAAGCAGTAGCATTGTGTTGCAAGACCTCTGACTAGTGAATGAAAAATTTTGTATCTCCGCTCGTGCTACTACTAGCAATTGAAAAAATAAATTTGTGAGGCAGAACTGCGATACGAGCCGCGCTGTCAAACTTGCTTCTGTCTCACTTTCCACTGTGACGCTCAATCATACCAATCTCCATGCCACGCATTTTGCACCTCTAATGCGAACGGCATTTCAGACGAATCAATGCTCCCCGCACTCCACAGCAAAATCAATTCTGGACATTTTTCAAAAGGCGAGCATGGTGCAGCAGCAACTCGTGCAGAAAGCAGTGACCGAAGTGGCAGCGGAGGGCGCACAAGCAGAGGGTTCTCGCCAGCAAGAGCAGCCCTCATCTGGCCTTGACGAAAATTGCGATGCGAGCTGCGCAGCAAGCGTGACACCAGCTTCGCAAAAAGAAGCCGGTCACGCCCTCGAGTTGGAACGCATTACCCAGGCCGAGCTCCGTAAAGAGATTGCCGTCGTCGTTCTGGACGAGGTCGGGCTCGCGGAAGAGAGTCAGCATCTTCCTCTGAAAGCTCTGCATCCGCTTCTCGAGACGGGAATCTCTCCGGACGGCCACTTCGGCCAGAGAATCACGGACAAGGTGGCCTTTATGGGTCTGTCGAATTGGAATCTGGATCCCGCCAAGATGAACCGCGCGATTCTGGTCATGCGCGAGGAACTCAATCGTGCGGAGATGATCCGCACCGCCCGCGCCATCTTCCGACACGAAGGCAGCCTTCTTTTCGGTGCGGCGGCCCAAAGAGATGCAGGCGAGCAGTCGCCGGGCACCTCGTCTGAGCGAGACAGACTCATTGAGTCCATCGTGGACGGCTACAGAGCGGTTGTCGGAGCCGTAGATGAGGAGGAGGACAACGAAACGGAAAGCGGGATGGAGGAGGACGGCGAAAATGGCGCCGAAAGCGTGGATGGCGCTGCCGGCGTCGGAGGGACACAGCGTGAGGGGCGCGACGCTGCTACGTCTTATGGCCTGCGTGATTTCTATTCTTTTGTCAAAATGCTCGACCAGCGTGCTGCCGAATGGAATAGAGATAACGCCTCCTCCCTGGTCCCGCCCGACATTTTGCAGAAAGCTAAGCTCGACGCGTTGGCGTACTGTGTGCGGCGCAACTTCGGGGGAATCTCGGCTGAAATGGAGAATATGGCGCAGGCCCAGCTGCTCCATCACCTAAATCGCGGCACCGAGCCTGTTGCTGTTGAAGGTGCGGAGGCGGCAGAAAGCGGACAAGAGCAGCTGAGCCACGAACATCTAGATGGCCTTAAACTTGACGCGCTTCTGCAAGATAACCTTCAACAGCCCGACCCTGACGGCAAACACCCAGTCCGCTACCCACTCATTATGCCTCGCGGCAAGACCACAGGCAGCTTGGGCGTGGTAAATGTGTTGCAGGCGAAAGGCATTCTCGAGAAAGAGGTAGCGATCGTGTTTGGGAGTAGCTTTCCGGAAGATGGGTCTCTTGCGTTCCTGAATCGCTGCATTGATAAAGTCAAGCATGGACTCGAATCTGGCGAAGTGGTTGTGTTGGTAAACGCTGCGAAGATTTACGAAGCGGTGTATGACGCCCTTAACCAGTACTACACGGTATTTGCCGGGCAAAAGTACGTCAACCTGGGCCTCGGTAACGACCACACGAAGGTGCAAGTGGCGAGCACAGCGAAGCTGGTTATTTTGGAGCCAGAGCCGCACTTACTGGATACCCCTCTGCTGAATCGCATGGAGAAGTACGGTCTCTCCCCCAAAGATCTACTGACTCATGAGGAGAACGAAGTTCTTCAATCTGTCAGACTGAAGCTACGAGCTTTCATCCCACAACACATGGTGCTCGCACCGGAGAAGATTGCGCACTTTTCTGCTGACGAGACATTACCGCTGCTTGCCATGGAGGAGTTGGTCACGCAGCGCAATAAAATGGCTCTCATGATGAAGGCGTCGACGACACGTTCTTTGAAAGACGCCGCTACAGAAAGCTCCATCAGGCGACTGTTTGAAAACATGTACCCCGATACAGTCATAGCAGTCCTGCAGCAGAGCTTTTGCCTTGCAAGTTCGCGTGCAAAAGAGTGGTGGCTGGTGCATCAACATCGATCAGCAGGACAAGAACTGAAGATGCAACAGAAGCCGAGCTTTGAACGAGAACTGTATCGGACGTATTTTGGTGACCCGGAAAAAGCGGAGGACACACGCACACTGGCGGATCTCCTTCTTGCGCCCCTGGAAGAACACGCTTCGTCGCCTTCCTGGGTCAGCACTCACAGTGTCATACTCGACTCTTCAAAGCGCCAACTCGGTGTAGCTGCCGCTTCTGCAACTGCAACGCCTACTCCTCTCGTGGGGACCGCGGCCAGGACCGGCGCGTCCGAGCACGGGACTGCTCCTGACCCCGGCCCGCCAACGCGCGTGAATGTGCAGCGCGTTCAAATAACAACCTTCTCCAGTGCCCTTAATCCGAACTACGTGGGCAGTTTGATGGGCCTGAAGCAACTACGAGTCGACTTGCGAAGTCTTCGAGAGGTGCGTGCGTCCGCTGATCTATCACATATTGTGTGGGTGTTTTTGCGAGAGTCCCACGAAAAGCACTATAAAAGCCTTCGAAAAAAGCGCTCTACCCGTACGAGCAAGACCAGGCGCCACGTCCTTTTGCTGAAAGCGGACCCCGACACGGTGCACCTGATCGAATCCGCGCGACACGCCCTCGAGGCCGACCTCGAGCGCTTCTTCCAAGAGCACAGAGCAGATGGTCCCGTTTCTGACGAGCCTGGCGCGGGCCGCACTGTGTTACCCTCGGACCGTGCTACCGCGGTCTTGCGATCGGCTCCCAGTGCTGGCGCGGGTTTAGGGTTTGCGACCAGCGTGCCAGGAGGTAGGGCACACAGCACCGACTTCGCCGCTCCTTTCCTGTCCACTCCTGTTGGTCCACTCGTGAGCGCGCACGAGGAGCCGTTGGACATATCGATCGTGTTCTTGGTCCAGCTAACGGGCGCTGTCGACAGCAACGCTACAGTGCCGTACGTAGTGCAGCCAAACGGATGGCGCGTGGCTCATCTTGACGATGCTTCCGTCAGTGGTGAAGACGCCACAGGTGACGGCCAGATTCTACCCAGTCTAAAGAAGCTCATCCAGCTTCGCACTATGTCGAATGTCTTACGTGAAAGCATCGTGGATAGTGGTGAACCCAAATTGTTGACGTCCCTACTGCAACGGGTCCTCCATGGCGCGGTGGTCGAGATGAGTGACCAAGCAGGATTGCAGCGGAACACGGGGCAACAGACGGCCGCGCAGGCCGCGAGAGATTCTCCTGCATTCCTTCTGAACTCTTTGCTCAAGCTCGCAGATAAAAACTCCGAGGTCGGCGCGACATTCGCGAAGTTCGTTTTTAGCCAGGTCGCGACTCAGAACACCAGAAAAGACGACGAGAAATCGTCTTGGTTGGTCGCCGCCGCAGAAAAGCGGACGAAAAAAAGGAAAACTGTCGTCGGAGGTAGTGGCAGCCTGCGGGCCGCTGTGAATATTACTACAACGACATTTCACAACGACCTGGAATCTTACTTCCTTGACGAGCTGGCAAAGCGCGTCGGGAGGCTATTGGGCCAGCTCAATCGCAATGGGAACTTGTTGCTAAACATCTCGTCCATGGTTCGCGGCCAGGTGTCGAATCCAGCAGAGCCTTTGAGTTCTCAGGGCGTCGTTGGCGGAGTCGCGCCTCCATCTTCCGGCACCGCAGAGGCAGTTGGACCGTCTGCACTTTCGCCGGAGACCCAGGTGCAAAGTGACCGAAGAGCCCTATTCTTCGCATGCACCAAGCTGCTCCAGTGGGGAAATTCGAACACGGCGCAGTCGAACGACATCGCGGCAACTACAGCTGTGGAATCGTTACGATTTCCATTTTTTGCACATGTTTTTCAGCACCTCAGTGATCAGTTCGAGACACTGGCTCGCCGGAACCTGAACGCAGGTCGCAGGAACGACAGCGAGGTTGCAAGCCTGTATAGGTCTTTTCGAGCCATAGTTTCGGAGCTGAAAGTTCCCAAGCTGCCCCTTTCCTCGCAGGGCGATATGCCGATTAACGAGGAACTCGCAGTCGATCTTTTCATCGGCGACCTGACAGAAATGATCGTCGCGGGAGAACGCGACGTGCGGGAAGCTCTGCGACCTGTAGAAGATAGGCAGGGGCTGCTGGGACAGTTGCTCAGAGGTGAAGCTATTGCACTGAATGAGCATGGTGCTAAAACCAGCGAGATCGGAGCAGGAGTAGGAGGAGAAGGAGGCATAACCACCGGCGTCCGAGACATCACGCTGCAGGAACTAGTTATGAAGCTCGCGGATCATGTATTTGTGTACCGTCTCTTCCTTGATGACTTGCGCGCAATCGCAATGTACCTCGGATTCCTTCGTGTCACCGTAGGTGAACAGGTGAACTTGTTGAACGACCCAGAACCGCAACAGGCCGGAGTGGTGGGCGAGAAGGGAGCAAAAGGGCAAAAACAAAAAGAAGCTTTGGCGGGGCGCCACCGACCGCAACAAAAACCCCAAGCCGCAGCATCACCTCGCGACCATGGCCAGACCGATCCCCGCGACCGCCTCAAGGCCTGGCGAAAGGAGCTCGCCAGCCGTGTGTTGCGGAACCTTATGAAGGCGGACGCTAAGCAAGATCCTGCGTGGCGCGACCGCACTCGAGACTCGCTAGTCCTGCATCCCCTCAGCATAGCCCACGATCACATCGCGATCGCCGCGATTGTGTCGATTGTCCCAACCGGTTCCGCGTCCTCCGCACAAAATGCTCAGCCTGATATGAATGCCTTGATGAGCGCCTATCCCCACCGTTTTGAGGAGCTGTTGGCATTCCATACAACCCGCATGGAGCAGCTATTCAAACTTCTTAGCAAGGACTTGCTTCCCGTTGGCGATGGCGGGAATGTTCATACCCCCAGAGCACTAAAGTCGGAATCGATGCACCCGACGCGGCAACGGACAATGTCGACGACCGGCAAGAACGACGATGCCCAACCGTTGGGGGTGATGATGCGGAAATTCGAGTTCTGGTTGCAATTTCATCTGTGGGCGTTTCTCCCCGGCCTGCGCGCCGCTGTTCCCCCGCAGACAATCTTGGGCAGCGAGGACAATGCAACTTCCGCCGAAAAGGAAGCAGAGTTGGAGCTTAGTAAGTGGGCTGTGTTTCTGCACACAACCACCCACGCTCAGCGGACGCAGGCATCCTCCACAGGCGCGAACGCAGGACGCGACGCGGCTACATTGTCTCGCGTGCTCAAAGGATATGATACAAATGGAGTGCTCATTATGCTTGGCCCCATGCTCACCCTCGCCATCAAATTCTGATGCTTACTTAAACACTTACTTATCGTGCAATTCGCGAGGCTCTCGGTCGGGTAGAAGTGGAGCAGATGCTTGATATGTTGTAAGCTCGGGACAGTTCTAACTGGATGCAAACAGAGTATCAGTTTTCTATGAAGCCCAGCTTCCTGGCTGAAAAGTTCTGGTGCCAGCTGTCATGCAAAATGGAGGCTGGACCTTCACCTTCCCGAGTGGCGATTTCCACGTAGTGGTTGTTTTCATTTTATTCGAAGTTGTAACTCGGCTCTCATTAAGCAGGCACAGAGCTAATAGGCGTGCTCATTTCAAATTAGGTGAGGGCAGCATGGCGTTTTTTGAACAGGATATTGATCGATATGGAAAGTGACCCAAAAGTTGTTGTCCGGCTTTTCACGACGTTAGCCGATGTTGCCCTACACAACGCGCATGACAGCCGTGAAAGTGGCAAGGCGCAGGTGAAGGAGACGGTCTTTCCGCCCAGCATCTTGCGAGAGTTCTTTGCTCGCTTGTTGTCCCTCGGCGAGAAATCTCGCCCGCTGCTTGAATATTTGGTAAAGAACCCCAAAGCTGTGTGCATGCTTCTTGAACGGATGGAAGACGAGGAAAGCGGTTCCCTCATGCGTTTGCTGACCGCGAAAATCTTTCTCGAAGGTCTGCACGATAGTACTGTACGACGCACTCGCAAACCAAACGGCTCGGATAATTCACAACAATGTTTCGGGTCAGCTAGTCGAATAAGATGGGACGCCGAAGAGAGCGAAGAGAGCGACGGGACCAGCAGCGACAGCGATATGGACGAAACGATCCACGACGTTTCCGCATTCGAGTACTTCGTGAAAAAGCTGCTCGAGCTTCTCAAAGCCGGGCAGACACGACTTGACAATAGTCTGCAACAACAAAGTGGACCGCGTAACCCGCGGCTCTTCAGTAAGTTTGTGCAAAGCGCCGTCTATCGATTCAAATACCGCAACCGCGCCCATTCTGGATGGGGATATAGTATGAGTGAATGTTTACAGGAAATTCTTGGCGCCACTGACTCAAGAAACACATTTATGTCCTCGTGAAAAAAAAGCCATTTGCGCACCGCCAAAAGATATGAATGCATGGGCACCGAAAGCAAACAGTTTGGGTTTGCTCTTGACAGGCCTTTTTTGTGCCGCTAATCTCTATTTAACTGCAACGCAGCACATTTTCCCAAATGTTGAATGGGTGCTCTTTTCCATTTGATACAGCTTCAGAGGCGTACGAGCAGGAGTATGCGGCGCAAAACGCATACCTGAGAGAAAATGGCTAGCATAGGCACTGTATCCGTGACCATGGATGTACAACAATACAACGAGCACCACACTTCGACAGAAATGTGCCTGCATAGGCTCATCAACTACACTTATTTCTAATGGCCGATGCCGCTGCGTATGCAATCTTGTATATACAGGTCTACTGTGCTAGCTCTTTTCTCAGTGATAAGCGCCACCTCCTGCGGCCCACGAGGCACGACAATTCATCCAACAGCCTTGCGGTGCACCTAACGAACATTCAAACCGCGCTAGCCCAACTAAACGAGCAGGTCACACACATTCCCTCAAGCCAGGTTCTCAAATTCCAGGCGCAATTGCACCAAGGATCGCTTGCAGTAGCGGAGGAGCTTTTGCAACAGAAGCTGGACTCTAACCTGAGCGCCTTGCCATCTGCTTCCGAGAATGGGGAGCAAAGTTTTTTGGCTGACGAGGCCCGTCAGCTCTGGCAGGATCGCACGTACGGACGGGCCCTGCAGGGGCGCATTCTCCGCCTGATTCGAGAAAAAAGCGACCTCAGTTTTTTGGTAAATTTACTGCAAAGGAATGACTGGCTTGCAGTGGGAGTACTAGACGAACGAAACAAAAATGGCGCTACTGCTGCTGCTGTGGTGCCGGATGTGTTTGGGGGAATTTTTCATGTAGCAGCGGACACAGCATGCCCGGCCGAAAACGTAAACTATGGCGCACAGCCAACCGGACCTAGCAGTTCGCGGTTGTCCAGTCAACAAGCGACGGGCGCCTCTTCTGATGAAAATTTCGCCAACACAGCCTATGTCAGCATGAATGTGCTTTGGACAGCTTTGGATGCTGCGCTTTCCGAGGACAACGAGATTGAACTATTGCCATGGCTTCAGAAGGCCATGGAACCCGAAATCAGGAAAGAGACGATCTCGGAGCAGGACCAGCCCTTCTGGCGTGCTGTCCGCTTTGCGGCGGTGCAACGATACGTATTTCATCACAATGTGAGCCCAAGCCCAACGGTGCTCGACAAGATCTGGGAAATCATCAAACGCTCCGCTGAAAAGGAAAAACTTGACATCTCATCTGGATTGCGCCGTGTGCTGAACTACTGCCGAAGCTGGGCCCAGGGTATCATGAGTAAAAGCCCCCCGCCGTCCCCATGGGCATGTTGCTCAAAGGAAGCTGGCTCGCACCTGAACATGTGCACAAAATCGAGTTGACTTGTCTTCCAAGACGTTCAAGTACTTATCAGGCATTTTTCACTTCCAAGCGAGGGCGACCCGTCGTACTATTCTGTTATCGTGCAGATCTTGTAGGCGAGTGGTGGCTGCAGTGCCAAGGACTACTCAGCACGCGTCTGTTGAATTGCCATGGTTCTTCTGTGACCGACTGTATGTAGCGCTAGCCATGCTCAGAATTATGCCGACAATTTTTCTTCTCTGTTCCAGGGCGGGGGAGGTTTTTTTAGTGTGATACAGTGCGAAATCACGTTCCCGCCAGATGACGGCGTTGACGCCGACGGTCTACAGGAGCAAGTTGCGCAATCTGGTTCAACAGGTGGGGTTGCGACGCAACGTCACCTGGTTGATCACAAGTCTCATATCACATAGAAAAGCAAACCCTACCGGCAAAAAGAGCTGCCTCGATCAATTGCGTTTTCGATACTAGATATGTTTTGCATTGAGTGCCCTGCTGTAGTAGCGCAACGCTGACAAATCGGGACGTATTTTCTGTCATGTTAAACGAACACTGCTGAAATTCGGACTAGCAGTCGGCAATGCAAAAATCCACAAGAAATATCTGTAGAGCTGTGCCCGAAGAGCGGTCTGGAATGCACGAGCCGCTAGCACGTCGCTAAGACAGCAAAAAGCATGCGGCTTCGGAGTCCGCGTGACCCGCTAATTGCAGAAGGTGGCTGCGGGTTGCGAAAGGAAAGAGCGGGTCGCTTCGTATTTCTGTTCGGCCTGAACAAAATGTACTGGATCTGATCTGACGAGTTTGCTTTTCTCTGCGATACTTTCCGCACGAGGATCAGCAGCGCAAGTGGAAGGGACGCATCTTGACGGGGATGCCGACGACCGGCTTGCTGCGATCTCGTTCGTGCTGCGTTTGGCGATGGTTCACCTGCTTCCACAGATGGATGCTATTACTACCGACCACGAAATATCTCTGCTGCACGCCCTGAGCCCCACGAAACTTACGAATTACGACAATCTCTGGCTGCCTGGAATGTCTGGCTCCGAGGATATCGCAGCGGAGGTGTACACGGTGCATCAGTCTCAGGTCGAAACAAAGTCGAGGCATTATCGCGGTGACGGAAGGTCTCAAATCGAACGAATTACTTCAATTGTCCGCCACAGAGCCTGCAGGAGGTTCATACATGTCGGTGCTTGTGGTGGTTTAGGGAATGACGATGGGCGCCTTTGCACTGTTTGTGGCGGAAGGATTGGCGGAGGTCACGGAGAAATGACGGATGCACATGGCAACGAGTTGCCCGCTGACGACCCCAGAAAGATCGGCACCTTGAGCAACGAGTTGGTGTACGGAACAGCGTACTTCATCGACGTCAGGGGCATTGGAGAATCACGCGGGTCGAGTTTGGACGCGCTAAGGGAGGAAGGCCCCACGGGAGACGTGTTGGCAGACAATGATGGGATATTTGATAGAGCGGCTATTAGTTGGCAGCGCCATTCATCGCGGGCCCGGCGAAGTTTACCGGAAGACCGACGCGAGAGCGCGCTGAAAGAGAACGACTTCACGCCCGAAGAAGACCTGACTCGGCCGGAAACTGTGGCTCGCAGAGACTACAGCTACTCCCGTCTGTACTCTTGGGGGCCCCGGCGCGACGTAGGGCGTACGGAGCGGCAGCTACTCTTGGCGCTCGTGCACGCAAGCCGTGTGCTTACGGACATCGTTATTGGACCAGGTAGAAGCTCCGCGGAATCTGGAAGTCTATCTGCGCCAGCTGGATCAAGCGGCGGTGACGCTCGTGCCTTTGGTCACAGTGCCGCAGTAGATGAGCTGACTCATCTCTCTGCTGCGAGTGAGGATCTGCTGCTCGACGTGCGATTTTTCCGGGATCGGTTGCGCAGCGAAGACGGGGTAGATCTGACGGCCCTTGGTATAGCCGCGGTGTTTCAGCACGTTGCCAGTAATATCGAGAAGGCAGTGGACCTACGGGATGTCGTCCGCCTTGACAATGAGGCAAAGGCAGAGATCGGCGCGACGTGGAACAACGACCCGAACGACCCCAAGATTGCCTCAGTGTATGAGAACCCCAGTCTGGCAACCAATAAGCCTGAGGTGCGCACGAGCTCCGTCGCAGACTACCTTCCGTATTTTCAAAGTTTCACTACAACGAAGCACCGGAGGTATTGGGAGCGCGAGGCCCTTCGCCGCGTCGTGCGCCCAGTGCTTCCCGACTGCCCGGACGCGCAAAAGGCGATGCTGAAGCCGTTCCATGACGCAGCGACCAAGATCTTGAAGGTGCAAGGACCTCCAAAACGGGCCCACCAATGGTTGGAGGAGAACAAAAAGGCGGAGGGCGAAGCGTTTCAGGACTGGCCCGACCCGGCAGAAAGCGAGCAGAAAATCGAGAGCCGTTTGGCAAGGGGTTTCGAAATCGAAAACATTGTTCGGGCGCGCCTTGAGGCTACTAGAAATCGCCATCTCTCGGACAGTACTGTAAAGCAGGTTGCACCTCTGAAAATTTTTGGCACTTTATTTGGGTCCTTCTCCAGTAACGCGACAAACTGGCGCATGCAGCTCTTCAGAGCGCTGAATGGACCCACTTTAATCTTCCCGGCACTTCGCCTGTGGTCACATCTAACCCAATGCCTCGAGGCAAGCCGCTACTCCCCACGCAAAGCATTTGGTGCTGTGCTCGATGATCTAGCTTCGCAAGGTCCCGAGAGAAACGGCGGCTTTACGGCTACGGACTTGCGCGCGGGAAAGATCGCTGCCGCATGTTTGATCCAGCTCGCCGCCGACAAGAACGCACTTCCAGCGTTAGAGGGCGACAGCAATACGACTTGCGTCGACTTTCTTCGCGTTTCAGGAGCGGGCGTTGAACCACGGAGCCGCTATCTCAACAAGGTCTGGAGTCAAACCCTGCAGGAGCTGTTTGGGTTAGGTGGCAAAATGGAAAAGGCGTTTCAAGAGGTGGTAAATTTACAAAATGAGTTGCTGGTCCATGCTCGCCAGTCCGGCTACATTTCCCCTGAATCTTGGCGCAGCAAGCGACCACGTCCATTGCAGTCTCTTTCTGCAGCAGACGGTGATGGAGAAGTGTTTGGGACGCGCGACAGCTACAGGTTTTGGGATGAGCTCGTTGCGCACGCCAACTTACACAAAACTGGGGTAGGCCGTGTGACATTGAATCAGGACGAGAACAAAGACGCCGAGCTTGTTGAGAGGTTGGAGCGCACTTTCTACGCTTTATACTTGGCTGACCGGGGGTTGCTTGCATTCCGCGAGGACGAAAACGGGACCCATGATGTCCAAGGCGGCGCCACGAGCGAAGGTGGCTGGCAAGTTGAAGGAATGGACGTGGCAGCACCCTCTCCCAGTGGCGCGATGGGCCCGAATGCCGGGACCGACGATTACCCCGAACTCAGGCAGCGTCTTCTCTTTGATTTTTACGACGTGCCCGGCCCGCTCAAGTTGATCAACGAGTTTTGCAAGGAGATGCTGACTGCGCCCACCGGGGAAGTTCCGGACCTGACAATCCCGCTGAAGGATATGGGCATCATCTCCCGGCTCTTGCAGAAGCAGTTCCTGCACGAACATAGTCAGCGCGTAGCAGAAGCGGTTTCCGCGCAGAGTCACGCACTGTTCGAAACAAGCGCGAGGAACAGGGAAGATCGCATGTCGCAAGTCTCTGACTGGATTGCGCAGACGCAGCAACAGCCTGCCGGCGCCACAGATGAAACGGCTCATGCTCCCGATGCCGATCCTGTCGCATCGCCGCGTGGCATTGCCCGGGGGTTGCGCTCTCGTGCCGATGGGCCCGTAAGAGAAAACGCGCGCACTTCCGAATTGGAAAGCGCGTGCTTCACGTCACCTGCAGTTTCGGAGTGGAAACGGTATGCAACAACGCAGCTGCAGGAGTATTTCAAGGCGACCTTGCAACTACAGCTGACCTCCGCCAGTCTGCTAAAGTATTTTGAGGATGGCAAGAAAAAATGGAATCAGAAAATCACGGCAAGCCAAATATTCATGTTGGAACGGTGGCTGCGCATCAAAAATCACAACACTGCCCGGACCTTTTTGCCTAGTTTTTTTTGGGCCGCGTTGCACGAGGAATGGAAGACGGAGGACCCGGAATTACCGGGCCAGGGTGCAGATCAGGACCCGGAAGAGCGAGAAGCGAAGGTGAAAGAAAAGCTTCAGCACTACTACCACCATTACCCGAGTCATTTTTTTGAAAAAGCCTCGGGGCAGCAATATCTCGCCCGCGCCGCGGCAAGTTTCCTGCCGGAGCAGCACCGCCTGAAGTCACGAGCGGCAGGGAGAGCGTATGAGAGTGGTCCAGGGTGGGAAATATTCATGAAAGCGAGTAGATGAGCATACCACAATGAGCATGATTTTTGACACTGTGCGTTAGCGTGAGTGTGTTATTTCCGACCCATCGACTGCTCTTTATGGTATTCTTCATTCGTGATCATGCCGACGACGCACGTGCAGACTTCTTCACTAAGATGACTGCTCAGACTTCGACTTTTGATTTTGCATCGCACACTAATCATTTCGGAAAGTACTTCCCATCGCCTGATATGGCCTGCATACTGAAGAATACGAATGCATCTTGCAGATCTGGCGCGGGCTGACACACGAGGCTGAACGCAACCCACCGGGGATCTCAAACTCCTCCCAGAAGACAAGCAAATTCCGTTATGAACAGGCAGTCTCGGAACGCCGCAAATACACGAAGATGTTGAGGGACGGCAGTTCGGGTTCGGATTCCGAAAGTGTCGATGTCTCCTGCCTTTCGGAAGAAAACAAAGGCTGTGCACCCGACGACCCGGGCGATAAGGCGCCCGAAAGTCCTGTAATCTCTCCCGAGGAAGAGGGACGCTTGCCAGTTTCGCAGTACGTCTTTCGCCGTTGTGAGTCGCTCGGCTTGGATGAGCGTAAGTTCGTTTGGGAAACAGCGAAGCGTGTCTTGGAGTCTGGCCGAGCTCAGCAAATCACTTTGGCGCTGCACCACCTCGCCCAACATTGGGTCGCGCACGAGACCCGCGTTGGCGAGATCCCGAAAAAAGATTTGATACGACCAAATAATCGCTTCTTTGAACTGCGCGATCTTTTTGTGCAGTATTTCGCACTAGAGAAGGGACCTGAAGTCCTGGAATACGCGGACGCGCTTTTTTTTCAGACCACTGGCCGATCTGCGCAAGACGCCGAGCAGAGCGTGCGAAGCGCTCTCGGACGCATCACCACTACTGCAAGCAATCGACCCCCCATTTCCATACTCAAAAGAATTTGCTAGATCATAAATCGTGTAAGTAGCTCGGCTCAGTACTCCTCAGACTTGATGCGTCCTTTCCTTATAGACACTGCCTCGCACGATAACTGTGGTGGGTAGGGCAGCTTTGTTGTGTCATACTTAGTTGAAAAGGCGAATTCTTGCGGCTTACTTGCTAATTTGTTGCCACCGCGCTCGTTCTCCCCCTGCAAGGTAGGGCTCTCGGACACAAAGAGGTCACTTGCATGCACAGGTCATGATCGGAAGCATCCCGGTTGCGAAAAAACCATGGAACGAACGCCACGCAAATTTTTCTATAAGTAGTACTTATGGGGCGGGTTTTTTCTTTCGCTTGATACACTCCGAGCTCTCACTGTGCCTGCTGGAGGAGCTTGTCCACATTTTCGAAAAGGCCGATGATGGAAAGACTTCCGTGGCTCGCCAGCAGATGGAGATCAACTACAGCCGGGCTCGCGAGCAGCAAGAAAAAGCCAACGACCCAACACCAGTGGTCGAACTCGGGCGTCAGCAATGTGAAACAGACCCTCCTAATTCGTTTGAGGGCAGCAGTCAAGGTGTCTCTGTAGCAGAAACAAGTGCTGGCGTGGCGAGCGATGAAGAAGCAGAGGTGGTGGGCCAACAAGAGGCGGCACAGCAGGAAAACATCGGCGATCAGGGCGGCGACGCGGGGGTTATGTTCCAAGCCTCTGCTGCCCGTGGCGTGCGACACCCAGCTGCGTGCTATTCGCTGTCTTCCGGTGCAAGTTCAGTCGGCGGAGACGAGGACATGGGCGTCACGATGGACGAATATCAGTTACCGCGAAGCCAGGACGCCACGGGGGGCGCCCCGCGGCGATTCTTCTCGCCGACAGTAGAGGAATCGCACGAAGCTTCTATCGCTGATTTTGACGCCAGAAAAATAACGCCAACAAGGGCGGAGAGGCGAAGTGCGGTCCAGCAGAAGCCAGAGGTGTCGGGCGATGCCGTAAACCCAGGAACTAGTACAAGAACAAAGATCAGCGGAGCAGTGCAAACGGGCCAATATGGGGTAAGATATCGGAACGATTTCGAGGTAACGCATGAACCTCTCTTGCTGCCCGAGAATAGTTTGGACGACGCCGTTCCTGCAGCACTGGTTGGAGTCCCGAACGCAGGTTCACTCTATCAGTATGTCGCTGCGCCCGCACAAGCACCTACCTCAAATCCACTGCACACTTTGCAGGACCACAGCGAACGCGCCAGCATCTTCAAAAGTGTACTCATACGATGGAAGAAAGCTTGGGGACTTACGGAGGCAAGCGACCTGTCCTCTGCCTTGCCTCAGCCGTTGCGCGCTGTGCTGGACACCGTGCTCGAGGCCATTGTCGACGCGCACGCAGAAGACGGACAGTCAGCGAAATTCTTTGAGATAGATGAAACCACTGAGAGGACGGACGAGAGTCTACGTTTAGTTTACGCCAGTGCAAGCGAAGCATATACAAAAGCCGCCTTCCGACAGGAGATGCGGGCCGCAGAAGTAATTCATGCCTTGGCTGTGCATCCAGCTGGGCACGTAGACGTGTCCAAGCCTGAACTAAATATGGATGAGCTGTGTGACAAGGCTGCGAAGGAGTTGTGGGGCAATATCTTCGCCAGTCGCGGCTCCAGTGGAGAATCCCATGAACAACTCCCAGAACTTCTTCGCAGAAGCCATCCCGGCTTCGTTGCGGAATTCCAGCAAAAGATGCTAGAAATGACGAGGGCACCTAGAACGCGGAAAATGCTGGATACATTTGCAGCCGTGCTTTATTCCCAGGCTCTAAACACCAAGTTTTTCAAAGACAAGATGCAGGGAGGAGAGGAGTTTGAGAATGGCGGGGCAAATCTCATCAAGTCCATGGATACACTGGGACAGTACCTACACTACAAGGTTATCACGAAGCCGAAGCGCCATTCACAGGATTTGAGAAATGCTTTCAATGCGCTATTCGCTGAGGCCGAAGACGAGCCTGGGCCACTGTTCGAGCTGGAAAAAGTGGCGAAAAGCCATTTTGCAGATGTGTTGCCACCTCCTCGAGGCGCTGCCGACCCTCATGAGGCGGGCGGGAGTGATATTTACCTGCGCCCCGAGCAGCCCGAAGAAGGCGGAGAGACTACTGATTTTATCCGACAAGGGAAGTGGTGGATATTTGCTACCCGCATCGCGTGGGCGATGCGACTGCGAAAGTATCCGAGCAAATTAGCTTGGAGCCGCTTTCTCCAGAGTGAGGAAGGAGCTGGCGCCGAAATGCAAATGGTTGATCTTTCTAGGATCACGCTCGATTTATACCAGCGCAGCTTGGCGAGCACGTCGGACCGCGGATTTTTGGCGCGACACCGTGTGGCATCAGCGACTCATTTGAAGCTGGTCAAGCTTCTGTGCATCTTGCCGACAGGATATGTGTTCGGGCCGGTTCACCCAGCCAGTGTTGCAGAAAAGAGTTCATCTGGGCTCGCTTCGATGCCGCAGTTTCCGGAGACGCACACAGCAGACGCCGTGGAGAACCTTGAAGGCCTTGCGAGACATTTAAGGGATACGCGACTCGGGCTAGCGCCCATCGTCTTGGCGATCGTCGAACAGAAATCGGGCGATGCGGTGAACAGGACCATCGCGGGGTATCTCCAGGTGACAAAGATACAGAAACTAGACCGAGTGCTGGTGCCTGCTACTTCCGAGGAGGAAGCCGAATCGGAGACCGACTCCGTTCCTCCGCAGCGCGGTGCGGTAACGAGAATGTCTGCATCTTCCAAGGAGGAAGCCGAGTCGGATGCCGAGTCGGAGACCGACTCCGTTCCTCCGCAGCGCCGCGCGGTGCCGAGAATGCCTGCATCTTGCGAGGAGGGTAAGGGCCCCGAGTCGGACAGCAACGGCGTTGTGCCTCCGGGAGAAGGGCTGGACACTGAGTCAGCAATGTTGGCTGCCAAGATGCGGACGCTTTCCCTCGTCTCTGAAACAGGAGTTGGAGACCCGGAAAATTTTGCTTCTGGTGGATGTGGATCTGTTGCGCTGGGAGGCGGTCGCCAAGTGCCTCCAACCTGCACTGGGGGCGCGGAAAATGCTCTGTGGGGTGCCAACAACTCGTCGAGAGCTAATGAAGAGCAATCCGCGGGGCACCACACTGAGCCTGGCCATCCCACAGGAGATAACACCACGGACGATGTGGATATGTCAGGTCCAAAGTTTGACGGCGGCGGCGACAGCGCGCCAGCGCCGGAAGATTCAAGCAGTGTTCAAGCGATTTTAGACGAGGAGCGGAAACGGGACATAGCGATACACCCGGAGCGCCTCAAGCCAAATGCAAATTGGTCTACGTTGTTTGCATCCATTGGCGATCATAGCCGCCAAGAACCACTGCTGGAGTACAGGGTCGTTCTACAGCCCGACGGGCTTGGAAGAGAGAAAACGGGCCATCGCGCTAGCAATGGCCGTGGCGAAGAATTGATGTATTCAGAGACTGAGTTGCAGTGGCTGTTTGCTGGAGCGGTTGGAACTTTCGTCGACAGTTACATAGCGGAGCACGAACTGGAAGAAGACCACGCGCAGAAGTTGAAACAGCACCAGTCTCAGATACAAAATGAGTCGAAAGAGCAATTGCTCAATCTCTCCCAGAGCTCTTCGCGGGTTCCCTTTCTGTACAATTATCAAGCGCCGCTGCTGGAAGCGGAGCCGCCTCGTTGGCTGGAGCAGTACGGACAGGAAGGAGCAGCTGCGTTTTTGGAATTTCGAGCTACGCCTCGGACGGCGCGGCGCGATCCTAACGCTAAGCAGGAACACCAACAGCCCGCAGGTGCGTCCGAACCGTCCGCACCACAGCCAGCTTCTCCGAGTAACAGTGGCAACGAAAACGGCGCGGCTCTCGCCGCGTTACATTCTGATTTTTACCGGTACCTTGACTCTAAGGAGGGCAAGATACTGAAGACAGAAGGAGAGTGCGGAAGGATGTCTGCAGACGAGGCGATTATAGATCCCCAGTCTCAGATCATATCCTCAACAAAAACGTCTCTACCCCATTGCCAAGATCGTAAATCTGGTTTGGCTGTTGCGCATGACAAATTTGCGCTCCCAGTGGAGTTATGTCTCTGTTTACCACGACAAATATGGGAGTGGTGTCTCGGTGTCCCCCTGACCGACCTGTCCAGCGTGACAGGCATCTGTGGCCGTTTGTACAGGGGGACGCAAGGTGCGGCGCACTTCTGTTTACTAGCATGACAAATTATAGGTATGGGGTGGAGACGTTTTGACTCAGGATAGACCGGAGATGAGATTCAGTGGTATTGGCTGGACACGGACTCATATGGAGGAAAGCAAAGTGTGGCTAGTTGTATCACTTTTTTGGGAGGCGAGCATTGCAAATCTCTCATGCACAGATAATCGGCATGGGAAAACGCATATGAATGTCCAACGACGCTTAGCAAGAATGACAGGCGCAACCCCCTTGCATGTTTCGCATCACAGACCTACACTAGCACGCACGCTTTGGCTCTTGCATAACTCCACGAATAACACTTGCGGAATGAACTCCTTGCTTGCTTTGGAAGAGGAGAACCGCCCTCGCATAGATTATGCGGGTCAACTAGTAATGAAGCTGAAGATCGAAAACGAAAATCCCAGGGAGCGCTTCGCCCGAAAGATTCGAACGCTGTGCCGCGGTGATGAGGCGAACTTGGCGAGACGCATCCGTGAGATCTTTGACGAACACTCGACCCTTGTGGCCACTGCTCATCCAGCAGAATACCGCGGGCAGAACGATGTGGCGGCCCTGCAAACTTTCAGCCGCGACTTTCAGGTCGCGGAAAGAGTTGAGCAGACACTCTGGCAAATTGTTGACGACTACCACAAGAACCACGAGAGGCAGGGCCACAACATTAGAATCAAACTCCTGGAATACGACTCTGTGGCAACAGGATGGCTCACCTCAAAAGAGAATGCCCTTCTACGAGATGGGCACGCGAATATTGTACAGCTGCGCGACATCATCGAAGACCACTTGCTCGACGCGAAGAACAGCTTCGCCTGGAACGGCGCAAAGTGTCACTGGAATTCGCTGCGCGGATTCATCGAGGAGTGGGCGTATCACAAAGAAAAGCATGGCCATAACTGATCTCTGATCGAACAGGCCGCGCCTGGAATGACCGGCAACAACAAAAGCAAGGAGTTCCACTTCAGCATGCCGATTTTCCAGCATTCCCCCTAGTCGTGATGTTTATTTCAAATTACAACGTGACGCTCTCTTAGTCTCAGCAAGGCTTCGACGCGGTTTTTTTAATTCTGAGAATAGGACTTTTGTCTGCGTTTTGCAAAACAGATCGATGAGTATTCCTATTTCAGAATCATGCAGCGCGAAAAATAGTGAGCCTATAGCAGCACAATCCAAATATGATGGAGCATGATATAGCTTAGCTTGCTGTTCGTTTTCTTTGTGATGACGCTGAGGGAGCCGCGGAGAAGTTAGTTTCGAAACAGGTTGCGGATCTATTATGGGAAAACTATCCACCGCGTTCCGACAGAGAAGAGCTGTGGAAGGAGTATTTCTTGGAAAATTTCGATCACTTTGTTGATCAAAACGGCAATGCGGATGTGGGACGAGCGCCGCCACTGTTCGCGCGGGTCTGGGATGGTGTAGATAAAGGTTTGCTTTTGTCGACGTCGCTTGCGGAACTTTTTCCGAGGGACTCTTTGAAGAGAAGACTAGTAGACCGGCAGAGCCGGCCGCTACTGGAATCAATAGCCCTGCTTGTGCTGTGGCAAGCGCGTTTCCAGTCGTTTGTCGGCAAGATGAAGACGTCTGCGTTTCAAGTTCATCGCCGCCTATTCGCAAATCCGGATGGTGACGCGGGTGAAGACCTGTTCACCCTGACGCTGAAGCAGTACCTCAGCTACGTCACGATGCCTGGAGCGGCTTTTCCGCACCTGAAAGACGAGCTGCAGTTGCCTGCTTATGTTGCGATTTTGATGGGGCAGCACGATTTGGCCGCGGTGTTTGACGCAGACCAAGAGCGAGCGGAGAAGCGCGGCGTTGTTGTGCACCAGGAAAATGTCCGCGAGGCCATGGCGAAGTGGCGCTATGCGACGACCTTTGGGGTCAGGCTATCGATAGCAAACATGTCCCGTGGTTTGGAAGATGCTCGGATACTTTTGATGCCGAGGCATTTTTTTCCTACAGAAGTGCTGTTGAGTCTAGCTGATCCAAATTTAGCACGCAGCGAAGAATACTTTACTCATCATGAAGGCACTTCAGCATTTGCATTGTACTCCCACAGTGATCGCGCGCTTGCTAAAAAGGTCTCGTGCATGACACAATTCCGCCTGCCTACTTGAGATTATCATACACTTAGCATCTTTCCGCTGCAATTCACAAGGACGTGTTTGCAGCCCATACTCATTCGCGCGGAACGAGGCGAGCAGGTACAGCGAGGAAGAACAGCGAGTGATGGTTGACCAGCTGAACCACTGGAAGAAGGAAGTGTACGAAACTTTTGCTGGATGGAGGGAGTTGCAGCATGCACTGAAAACAAGTGACATGCACCTCGTAGGTGTGGCGGACTGGAACCACTTCCGGAGTTTTGTGCTGCAGTAAACGCCAGTCAGTAGAAATGGCGCTAGCATCTAGCCGACTTTTGCTTCTTGCGCAGCTCATGTGCTCAGCCAGGTGCGTGAAGAAAGCGTAGTCATGGTGATGAAGAGGCTTAAAATAACGATACTGGAATTTTTTGAAAAGCTACGTATCGGGGTCGTGCATTTTTTTGATGCTCATTTATTCTTTAGCTGCACAGAACTGCCTCCCTCCAGTCGGTTTTTTGTGTAGCTTGTCGTATGAAGGTCGCTCCAGAAGACTGCGCTAGGGGGCTGCGTCTTTTTTATGAGTACCGCGCTAGGACCGGAATTCCACTGAAACTGGGCTGTGCACAAGCATCTCTCGAACTCCTAGACGGAGAGTGAAGTGGTTATCAGATCCGGGGCTTTAGAAATTTGGTTTTTTGGATAGTTTTTCTGTAAAGAAGAAAACGATTGAGAAGTCCGGAGAACTACTTACCTTTATTGTACAATTTCCACCATCGTTAATCTACATGAATATAAAGATCCACTTTGCTAGAAAGAAAACACAACCGGCCGACTTTCGTATAAAGTACAAACTACTTCTGATGGAGTTTTTTCGGCTTTATGAGCTTGGCCGAGCGATTGGAGCACACACTTCGGCATTTAGTTTCAGATACATGCATTATAGAATCATACAAGAATAAGTAGGCGCCTTTCCCACTTATTTGCCATGACTTTATCGACAGCGTTGACATCGATAATCAAAATCATGACGGCGCCAGTTTCAGGCGTGTTTGCAGGCATGGGAAGCAGCTTTCAAATCTGTTTCTGAGGATAGGTAGGAGGCACGTCGGTGTCGCCTCTACCTTTTTTATGTTTCCGTGGTAACGCTTGATCTAATTGCATTCACAGAAAGACAAGAACTTGCACAGAGACTCTCCCTACGCGGACACTGCTGACCGCCACTGTGTTACATGAGGCAGTCAAGACTGAAAATTGAAATTCATCGCTTTCGCGCTCGCTCACTCGTGTTCGCGCTCGTTCACTACCGAAGAACACCCTTTAAACACGAACAGGAAGGGCCTTACCAGGGAGGACCTATTCCAGCCTTTGTTCAGGGAAGTCGAACGCAGGCGAGATGAAGATCCAGAAGAAGATAAGGACAAAGTCCGAGTCTTTCCGAAAAGCGACGGCGCGGCGCGTGTTTTGCGGTTCGGCCGTCTTTTTTTGACAGGCGACCTGCAGACGTATACGCGCCAGGAATGGGCGCGGGGCTTCGAGGATGATTGCAGCCATGCCATAAACCTCATCGAGTGGCCGCTGCAGCTCTGTCGAGTGACGCGGGCAAGTGGAGAACGTGCCAGCCTGCGTCTGGTTGTTCCGGTAATTCCGGTAGAGCATGCAGAAACTCCCCGCGTCATACGTAATGTGAAGCGGCTGCAGTTGCTCGCCGAACAACACTGCGAGCGGTTAGAGATATGCCGTAGCCCCCCCCCC